TGTTCGAGCAGGCCTCCCAGATCTTCCAAAACCCCATAATTAAGGAATATACCCTAATTTATACTAAGGATCCTTATTAGGAATTAAGGTATATACCTTAATTAAGGGGTTTTGGAAGATCTGGGCTTGAGAAAAAGCCCATGGTCCGCTGCGCGCATGCGGGCGCCGGCCCCTGGCACCGTTGGAATCTCTGAGTATTCACAGGCTCTTTGACGAAAACCCTAAACCCTAAACCCTAAAACCCCGCAACAGCCTAGGTATTTGGGACTTGGGGTTTATAGGCCTGACTGTGCCCAAAAAAGCAGGAAGACCGAGGCTAAGGGGGTTTCAGTTCGAGAACTTAGAACTGAGTCCCGCTCCTAAGCCCCAAACTGAAGATAAGTTGACAAAAACCCTATACCCGACCGCCGGTACCAACCGGTTAGGGTTTAGGGTTTAGGGTTTAGGGTTTAGGGTTTAGGGTTTAGGGTTTAGGGTTTAGGGTTTAGGGTTTAGGGTTTAGGGTTTAGGGTTTAGGGTTTAGGGTTTAGGGTTGTAAGGCCGCAAACCCTGTTATCTTGAGACACATAACCTTGGATGGACATTGAATACTTGCCTGCCTTGAGCAAGTATGAGCCCCAAAGCCCAAAAAAACGAAAGGAGCAGCTCTGCGTGGTGTCGCTTCGACCATGGGCCAAGTTCCCAGGGCCTCCACCACCTCAGCCACCGGCAGGAATCAAGGCAGGATAATGGTTCCAAGGATGCCAAGTTTAGGGTTTAGGGTTTAGGGTTAGGGTTTAGGGTTTAGGGTCCGAAGTCAACTGAGGTCAAAGGGTCCGAATGGAAGGGACTAGGGCAGAGGGGCTTCAGGGGCTACTCAGACTGTGATGGCGCTTGGGGATTCTGCTGGGGTTTGTGCTTCAGTTCTGGGTCTCGGGTTTTGCTGAATCCGCGGAAGATGCAGGTGTTTATATGGGTCAACATCAAACTTTCTTTTCGTGGTGCAGTGCTATTCCGGGGATGCTGCCATTTGGATTGAGAGACCCGGACCTGTCTTACAAGCTGCAGATGTTGCCTGCGCGGCTGCCGCTGCCGCTGTGGCGGCCGGTTGCGCTGGCGCTCGGAGGGCCTCTGCGAGGCCCAGCACTTCGAAGAGGCTTTTCGCGCCCAGGGTTCAGGGAAAAGGGTTTAGGGTTTACGGGGTGTAGGGTTTAGGGTTGAGCCCAGGTTTGCTGCAGTTCGGGGTGCAGATAGGTGTGTACCATACAGTCGCGTGGGAAGAGGCTTGATGATGAAAGGGGCTTCGGAAGGGGATGGGTATTTCGTTGTTGCATTGGTTTGGGCCTTCTGGCTGGGGCAAAAAACCCTAAGCACCCTGCCTAATAGCCATGAATTACGCGTAGACGCAAAAGCGCCCATCCGAGACAAATGTCTCAAAAACAGGAGGCACACGAAATCTGCACCCATTGGAAGGCTTAGTTTTCCGAGGGCATCGCCGTTGCAAGAAACTTCAAGCACAAAGGTGTGGCAAAATGCCAGGTCCAAGCATTTGGCCTCAATCCCTAAACCCTAAACCCTATAGACCCGAATTCCTAAACCCTAACCCTAAACCCTAAACCCTAAACCCTAAACCCTTTTCCCTATAGACCCTAAACCCTAAACCCTGCCCCCCAGACCCTCCGTGAGTTCTTTGGGGCCCTGAGCGAGGGCTCCTAGAATCTTATCTACTGTTTGCTTCAGCACCCCCAAAGAACAAACATGTTCTTCCTTATAAGGGAAATATAGGGACTATCTTGTATACCTTATCTACTGTTTGCAGAAGTACCCCCCCCCCCCCCCCACATATATATTCTTCCTTAGAAGGGCAATGTAGGGATTATGATATTTTATCTCTTGGAAAAGTTCTTAAGCAAACAGTAGTTCTCTCCTGAGCTGAAAGCCCCAACTCTGTCCACAAAGTGCCGCAAAGTCGTGGAGCCCCCCTAAGCCCTAAACCCTAAACCCTAAACCCTAAACCCTAAACCCTAAGCCCTAAGCCCTAAACCCTAAACCCTAAACCCTAAACCCTAAACCCTAACCCTAAACCCTAAACCCCCCGAAGCGGCGGCGAGGAGGGGTCAAAAGACCAAACTTCGTCTGGTAGCCTCTGTGGAGCGGCCAGAGGTAGCAACGCAGGCTTGTGCTTCCCAGGGACGGGGCCCACGACTCGGGTTTAGGGTTTAGGGTTTAGGGTTTAGGGTTTAGGGCGAAAGACGTCGAGTGTTGAGGGCTCGTTTTTTGTTCCAAGGGGGGGGGGGGGGGTATGTTCATCTAGGTTTTCACAGGACATCATGCCCCTGCCCCGAAAGCAGTCTTAAGACCGTGACCATTGCTCAGCATGTGGACATACACGGCAGTTTGATTTCTTAATTTGCCATGACATCCGGTACTCTGTGATTCAGGCCTTGCCATCTACGATCTCATCGAGGGCTTGAAGATGGATTAGTGATTAGTGTATTGTGCACACTAGGAGTTGTCATACTGTAGTGACTGGGACAGGAGGAGGGAGGTAGGCAGGGAGGGATGAACTGGAGAGGTCCCCCAGTTTTGATGTTCATCATATCATAACCGTCAAGCCCACTTGTAGAATGGGAGGGGGCTACACCATGACGCAAAACCAAACACCCGCTAAAACCCAACCTGCGTCCCTCGATGACATCGCATTCCCTCGTGAGGCCCTGCCTACTGCTTAGGACCGAGAGGCCCAGAACCCTCTGCCCCTGGAATCCCAATCTTGAACACAGGCCTGGCGAAATTTGGGGGCCCAATGGGGCGTCCACAAGTTTGGCGGCGCGTCGCTCAACGACGCCGCATTGCACCTGGGGACTGAAAGCTCTTAGGAGAATCGGAGTCTGGTTTGTGTGTGTGTGTGTGTCACTGGCATGCTCATGCAACTTACTTTCCCGTATCAGAAACTGGATTTTGAGGATTTCGCACATCTTGAAGTTTGACCGCTACAAGCCAAAGAAAAGGTGCTTGTTGGAGGCGTCGCTATCGCAAGACCTTCAATTCAGGAGATGTCAAGGGTGCAACAGGCGGAACAGTATACTGTGCCGCGGCCTCCGCTGCGCGACCCGCTCGCTCAGAGGGCGCCTGGACAGATCCCGGATCACAAACATACCCCGGCCCCAAGCCTGACCCAAGAACAAGCCATAGCAAGCCTTCGGCTTCGGTTCCAACAACGGGCCAAAACCCTAAACCCTAAACCCTAAACCCTAAACCCTAAATGTCCGATGAGGTACAAAACCTGTGGCGACTTGCTCATCTCGGAGTCAAAGAAGAACGCCTCGTCGGGCAAGGTTTTCCAGCTTGAAGTTGGGACAATTGCCCTGAACCCGAAGAACCTGGTGTTTTGGACCAAGTTTGGGCTGCTGGAACGAGTGAAGGTTTAGAAAGTTTGAAGGCAGAACTTTGGGGGGGTGTCGGCATCAACTACCCTGCTGCTTGGGCTGCTGCCAAACAGACGCCTGGACCAGGCACACATCCCACAGGGCTTGGGATTTAGGGTTCAGGGGCCTAGGGCCTGAGGCTTAGGGTTTAGCCCCTCTGTTGCCGCCTAGACTAGAATTGGGTTTCGGGTGTAGGGTTTTGACCCCCAACCCCGCACTCCCTATTCCTCTAGATGAGCTGCTCTGCGTTGATGCTGCCACTGAGTTCCCTAAACGTTTAGGGTTTAGGGTTTAGGGTTTAGGGTTTAGGGTTTAGGGTTTAGGGTTTAGGGGGTTAAGGGTGTAGGGGTTTAAGGGTCTAGGCCCTAAACCCACACGTTGTTTTCGGGGTCAGCAAGTTGCCCCGTTGCTGCTCAGGATGCTTTGTTTGATCCTTCACCTGTTCTTTGGGGCTATCGTGTTTAGGGTACAGGCCCCTAGAACCCTGGGCCCTAAATCATATCCAAATCGTTCCATTCCTGCCCCATGTGGGTGTAGTCAAACCCTCGCCAAACCCTAAATCCTATTTGACCCCCCCCAAGAAAAAAAGATACGAAAAAGAGATCCTTAACCCAAGGAACAGCGCGGGATAATCACCGCATGTGTTAGGATGTTCAGTTAGCTTTGCGGTTTGGGGTTTTTCGGTGGGCCGTAAGGGCACCTCGCTTCGGGAGGGTAAACGCTTACTGGCTCAAAACCCAACTTTTCAACTTTTGGGCTTCTTATGAGGTAGTTTATTCTGAAAGTTTCAACTTTCATTTCCTGGGTTTTTGGGCCTGTAAGAACGGGCCAGCAAAAGTTTCGGGGGTCGCGGATGTCCGCTGCCTGTCCACTGCCAGCAGGGAGGCGGGAAGAGTTGAAGGTTTTTGGGGTGTCGGACTTCGTCAGGGCCTCAACAAGCTTAGTTGTAGAGTAGGTAACCTTTAGGCTTTCTGGGGTAATAGAGTCCCCTTGTAATCCCGAAGGTTAACCTTCGGTTCCCCTAGGTACTGGACAACTAGGAATATTAAGGATCAGCCAACAGCGGCGATTGTGTCTGCGGCGGGCGGCATGACGGACCCTTGGCCATACAATACGGTGGAAGTTGGGCAGCAGGTGTCGTAGCGGTCTTATGTAGCGTTTTCGGCTGTTGCCAAATGGTTCTGCAGACTGTTTATGGATTGTTTACGATTTCCTGGTGCGAGCGCCTACCACGCTGTTGGCCGATTATCTGATCTGATTCTTCAGCCCGCCAAGGCCAGAAACAGAAAAAGGCTTGCAATTTCCCAGAGCACCCCTTCCAGTTAAGGGGTTTAGACCTTTGGAGCCTGGCAGCAATGAGTCCAGATGCAAAAGGGCTTTGCAACAAGAGCTGCATCGGTCACAAGCAAGGCTCAGCTGGTGGCCGGGTAAATTACATTTTCTGCGTAGCCGTACATATCAGGCACTTACAACTGCCTTGTATTGCCAGCTCTCTGCAGGTGTTAGAATAGAGCTGATGCAATCAATGGGTGCGTCTAAAGACTTGGGTAGGTCCGTGCGCCTGTGGTTTCGGGTTTGGTTCGCATCCAGGACATGCTGGTGGCCATCATCGACAGCGCGCTGCGTGACAGCAACTCCCTGACTAGCAGATACAAGGCCCAGGCCCTGATGAGATTCCTCAAGAAGGAAGGGCATCCGAAGCTGATACTAATTGGCTGGCGAGAAATCGAGCTTGTCTTCCTCCATCAACACCCTTTGCACCAGCACCTTATGTACGGAAACTCGTGTGACTAGGTGCAACAACTGGTGACTAGGGGACGCGAGGCATATCGACTAAACCACAAACCGCTGGTTACAACAAGCTCTCTGAAGCAGAGAAATCTTCCCCACGGATTGCAGCGCTCAGCCACAACAGAGTACCTCGCCCTCACCCCAGTCTCTTTCGGCAGCTGGACATCATTTTCGGGGTCGGGTTTCGAGCAAGCCCGAACCCTAAACCCTACGTGATATTTCAAGGTTGTCGGGGTGCAGGACCTGATACCTGAGGCTGACCTCTGTCGAGGAGTCCCGTGAAAAGCTGAAGGCAGCTGCAGACAGGCTCTGTGGGCTTAAGGCTAGGAGCTAATCTCCACAACCGGAACCCTCGCGTAAAGCTGACTTTGGTTGACCTTCTCCCATGTATCCTCCTGCCCTAGAATGCGACGAGAGTGGAGCGGATTGAGGAGGTACGCTCCAAGAGACCCTGAAGACGGCGTGAACGGTGCCTTGTGTCATGGTACCAGCCAATACACGAAAATGGAGCTCACAGAATGTCGTAAAGGTCCGGGTTGACAGCCGAAACATTCCGCGATTCTTGCAGATGGGATGGGTCGGTTCAAGCCCACTGCCTGGCACTCGAAGTTCTCATGTTCCCCAATGTGCATCACAGCCCTGTGTGTAGCCTCCAAGCGTTCCAAAAATCCAATGCCTGCTCGTAGAAGCAATTCCTTGGATCTATTGGGGCTTAGGCCCCTTGTTTTTTCAGGCAGAAGAGCATTCTGCTGGAGCTGGTTCCAGACAAACCCGAGTTGACGGACAAAGTCATCGCCAACATCGACAAGGACTACTCGTCAAGTGCCAAGCTTGTGTGCAGCTCTGACCTAAATCGCCATCTCAAGCGCATCCTCGTTTGGAGCATCTGCAGTCTCCAAGCCTCTAAGTCAAGCCTTCAAACCTCAAATTCCGAATGGTAAACTTCTCAAAGTCATGGTTCCTTCTTTGGAAATTAGATGTGTAGAGGGTACCCAAAAGGGGCCCTATTTTTTCAGAGAACTGACACATCTCAGTCCTTACCCTAAACCTTAAAACCCCTGAACCCTTGAGCCTGAACCCTAAACCCTATACCCCTGAACCCTAGCCCTAGACCCTAAACCCTAAAGCCTAAATTTTAGAGCTACGCTAACTGCGCCAGTGAAGTTGGTATCTTTTTTGGTTTGTCCCGAACTCTTTCTCCTTTCATATTTCTTCAATTTACTTAAACCTCTTTTAGGTCCATAGGTTCAAAGGCGTCTGAAAAGAGGGCATCTCAAAGAAGGACATCTGAAAAGAGGGAAAGGGCATTTGGGAGGAGGGCATTTGGAAAGAAGGCATGCGGACAAAGTGCATCTGAAAGGAGAGCATCTGGAAAGAAGGCATCTGAAAAAAGTACATCTGGGAGGCGAACATCTGGGAGGAGGGTATCTGGGAGGAGGGCATCTAAAAAGAAGGCATTCTTAGAGATGAATATCTCGGAAGAGGGCATCTGGAAAGAAGGCAGCTGGAGGAGGATTTCTGGAAAGGCGGCGCCTGGGAGGACATCTGGGAAAGGGCATCTGGAAAGAGCGCATCTGGAAAAAAGGCATCTGGGAGAGTGCATCTGGGAGGAGGACGGAGAGGAGGGCATCTGGGAGAGGGCATCTGGAAAAAGGCATCTTGGAGGAGGACATCTGGAAAGAGGACATCCGAAAGGAGGGTATCTGAAAAGAAGGCATACAAAGCCGACCAAATAGAAAAGCCGACCGAACAAAAAAGGGGCTTTGGGATCCACCCTAGGGTCGCCTTATCAAAAGATGCTTCCGGCAATTCTCTAGGCGCCAACTTCACTGGCGAACCCTAAAGCCTAAACCCTCAACCCTAAACCCTAAACCCTAAACCCGAACTTCAGTCGCCCAAAGGACCAGGAAGCCGTGGAGGCCATGGCCTTGGCCGCCTCACAGATGAGAGGAGCAGGGAGCCCCAGAAAAATGGGTTTAGGGTTTAGGGTTTAGGGTTTAGGGTTTAGGGTTTAGGGTTTAGGGTTTAGGGTTTAGGGTTTAGGGTTTAGGGTTTAGGGTTTAGGGTTTAGGGTTTAGGGCGCATTGTAGAGAGAGCCAGAGAGAGGTTTATATATGGATATAGACATATGGAGATAAATATCCAAATACACTGAATAAAGAGAGGAATAAAGAACCATAGACATTTATATATACATATATGTATATACATATGTATATGTAATATGTTTTCTTAGGGAGGGTAGCCTGCAAAGGTGGCACGGGTTGAATGGGAGGGTATCCCCTTCTTTGGGGAGGCTTCCTTGACTTCGTGGCTCCCCGACCCTCCTCCCCTCACCTTGTCCCAAACTCCCAGCAGATCCCTGCCTCCGTACACCTCTCATGAGGCTCAGCGTCATAAGGCTGCGACTACACTCACTGAAGAAAGGCAAACTTGCATACCAACGCACACCCAAAAAACACACTTGCCAGAACACACTTCTGAAGCACAATGAACCGACCTAAGAGGTGCCCCCTCAGATGATGGAGCTGGTAGCTGGCCTTGGAGAGGTGCGGTTTAGGGTTCAGGGTTTAGGGTTTAGGGCGTAGTCTGGCGCCAGAAGGGTGTAGTCTGGGCAGTGGGAGGTTCGCACCATGTGGGCATCAGACTGACACACTGGTTTTGGGATTCTGGATGTTAAGGTTCTGAGGCTGTAGGGAAGTGCAGGCCTTCGGGAAAAACAACTTGCAAGATCTTGTGGCCTGCGGCTTGCTGCTCTGTCTACCTTGTTGGCAACTGGGGTTTTGGATAGCTGCAGCGAGAGAGAATCCTGAGCTTAAGCACTTATTCCTCAAGCCGTCAGCCCTACACAAAACTCTGACCCAAACAGACCTCTAGAAGAAACCTCGCAGTGCCCCATGAATTCTGCAGAAATGCTCGATGACATGAAGGACAAGTTAACAATGCCCGTGCAACTCATAGCAACAACAACAACCACTACTCCCAACGCCGTGAGGTCTGGTCAGCTCAGACACTCTGTGCGTACATGAGCTCCACTGGTGCGCGAAGCGCCGCTTGGAAGCTTAGTGTTTAGGGTTTAGGGTTAAGGGTTTAGGAAACACTTGTAGTGGTGCAATGCTGACCATTCTTGGCTTCGCCTGCTTTGTCACACGATCATCTGCTCATTCGTTCGAGCTGCTGATTCGTCCAGTTACCTAGTGGCCATTGACATCCATTGCCAAGCCCTGTGCTTGATCGTCCGACTGCCTGGCGCCAGGCAGAACATCACAAACGGGCAGCGTTTGTGTTCCGACATCACCCACGTGCATGATTTATTTTGTGTTTTTTATTGCGTTGTTGTCCCTTGTCTTTTCGGCGGGTGCGGTTTCCTACTACGTGGAGAAAATTGTGCTTTCCTTTTGACTTGCAGAGGCAATAGAGGTTTGCCTAGTATAGAAGACATAGATGTTTTCTATTAGCATTCAGCGGCAATAGAGGTTGCCCTATGACAAGATGGAGGAAAAGGTTTTCTATAAAGAAAAGGATAGAATCAGAGAAAGGAGAAAACTCGAAGCAGAAAGACAGCAACGAGAAAAACACAAGCACGAAAGAACGCCAGAAAGAAGGACCTTAATTCAGGATAAACAAGAACATCAATTACATAGATTAAAAAAAGAAGTACGTAAGTAAATCGGTAAATAAGAAACTAAATCTTAGAATTATAAAGTCGTAAAGGCTAGAGAACTTGAGAAGGAACGAAAGGCAGAAAGGGCTCCGGCTCCCCCCTCCCCGCATCATGCCAAGAAAGAGCACCTGCGATAAAGCACATACGAATCCTTTCCAAGACATTTCCTGTTCAAATGCCTTTCCCAAAACACGTAGCGAAAATAGAGGTGATTAGCAAAGGGTTGTCGAGGAGAGGTTTTCAATGGTTTAACAAAAAGAGGCTTTCCTTGTACAGGAACCCCCGAAGAACAAAGAGAACTAAAGCGCCATAGATGAAACAAAAAGAAGTTAATCCCTTCCTCTTTAAAGTTAGCTTTGGCTACTTGTACGTAAAGCAGGTTACCCAACCCGAGCCTGCAGGAGGCTGCCCATGAAAGGGCCTGAACCTTAGCCGGATGCTTTTTGTTTTGTTTGTTAAGCTGGAACGGCCCAAATCCCAAGAACTCATGAAGAAGCACACCCATAGAACTACACGTGAGCTCAGACCACACATGCCCCCTCCCCTCATCCCTAATGTTGTTCCCAGCCATGCCGAACCTTCAGGGGGATCATTCTGCATAGCGCGCAGAGCTCAGGAGTGGATTGATGCACGTGACATCCTGATCGTACCTGATGGCCCCCTCTCCGGACCGGGGAAGTCCTAATTCGGGCGCATTTAGCTTCCTAAAGCGTCAGAGTTTAAAGAGCTGTCGGACTTGAGGGTACAGTAGGAGGAGGAGTAGGGGTAGGAGGAGGAGGAGGAGAAGGAGTAGTACTAGTAGCAGTAGCAGTAGCAGTAGCAGCAGCAGCAGCAGTAGCAGTAGCAGTAGCAGTAGCAGTAGCAGTAGCAGTAGAAGTAGCAGTAGCAGTAGCAGTAGCAGTAGCAGTAGCAGTAGCAGTAGCAGTAGCAGTAGTAGTAGTAGTAGTAGTAGTAGTAGTAGTAGTAGTAGTAGTAGTAGTAGTAGTAGTAGTAGTAGTAGTATAGTAGTAGTAGTAGTAGTAGTAGTAGTAGTAGTAGTAGTAGTAGTAGTAGTAGTAGTAGTAGTAGTAGTAGTAGTAGTAGTAGTAGTAGTAGTAGCCGTCGTCGTCGTCGTAGTTGTAGTTCGTAGTTCGTAGTTCGTAGTTAGCCGTTAGCAGTTAGTAGTTAGTAGGTAGTCGTTAGTAGGGCGTGGTTAGTAGGTAGTAGGAGTAGTAGGAGTCGTAGGAGTAGACGGAGTAGACGGAGTAGTCGGAGTAGTCGGAGTAGTCCGAGTAGTTGGAGTAGTAGGAGTAGTGGGAGTAGTCGGAGTAGTCGGAGTAGTAGGAGTAGTAGGAGTAGTAGTAGTAGTAGTAGTAGGAGTAGTACTAGTACGAGTACTCGTACGAGTACTAGTACGAGTACTAGCACCAGTACTAGTACTACAAGCCATGCTGTAGCAGTACAACTTTCGCTGAACCCAAAAAGCCGTGCAAACACAAAACCCTGAGCCCAAACAGCCCGAAAACTCCCAAACTCAAGTCAACTGGCAGGACTTGGGGAGAAGGGCACCGCCGTGGACACTATCGAGCCCTTCTGGGACGTGGATTCCTCAGTGGTTCCCGGTTTAGGGTTTGGGGCTTAGGGTTTAGGGTTTAGAGTTTAGGGCTTAGGGTAGTAGAGGAAGCAGGACAGTGGCTCTTGGCTGTGGGTTTCCCTGCATCCCAGGGTACGGGCTCCAAGTATACAAATCATACCTACATTGGGGTCTAAAGTCTATAAACAATACCTACCTTGGGCTGTTTGGAGCCTTAGGGTTCAGAGCAGGACGAGGGTTGACAACTCAAGCTCACGGGGCCCTCAGGCCACCATTGGACGTAGTTGGAAGGCCGACTTTTGCTTCCAAGCATTCGATCACCACATCTTCTAAACAAGGTATTCCAAAACCCACTAGGGTTTAGGGTTTAGGGTTTAGGGTTTAGGGTTTGGGGTTTGGGGTTTGGGGTTTTGGGGTTAGGGGCTTAGGGGCGGTGATTGTGGGGTCTGGTTTGTATCACACAAGCAGCTGGCGGAATTGCCCGGAGCCCAGTATGCAAAAGGGTTTAGGGACCCTAAACTCTAAACCTTAAACCCTGTGGGAGGAGACTTCACATCGGCTGCAGAAATGGTGGGAGAGCACCGTGGGAGAGTGGCATGGCTAGAGCTTAGGAGTTCAGGGTTTAGGGTTTAGGGTTTAGGGTTTAGGGTTTAGGGTTTAGGGTTTAGGGTGGCTAGAGCTTAGGGGTTCAGGGCTTGCTTTCGAGCTTCTCTACACACATGGTTGCTCCACTGCAGTTCGTGCTTTTTTGAGATCCCCGTGCTTTGCTGGCAGGAAAGGGTGAGCAGGACGAGTGGCATGGGACCTCCTGGGATTGGGCTAGTGTCGAGAAAGCGCTCCCAAGCTCGCGAAGCATGCAGTCCAGATGAATCTGTTGAGCCCCCAACGCCCGAACCAAACCAGAAGTCAAAACTCGGCCGAAGCACCTTTGTGCTAGCATTGACTTGAAATAGTGCCCCCTCCTCCTCCCCCCCCAAAAAAATTAAGCCACTTTGAGTCCAAGAACGCAATGATGTGAACACTGCTTGGGGACATGCCCTAAACAACCTAGAGTAGGGTTTAGGGTTTAGGGCTTAGGGCTTAGGGTTTAGGGTTTAGGGTTTAGGGTTTAGGGTTTAGGGTTTAGGGTTTAGGGTTTAGGGCCCCTGAGCATCTAGCCTTCCAATAAGAGGATTTTCGCTGTAGGCCTTCGTTCTCTAGGGCGGTCAGCACCACAGCCCTCTCAAACCTGCAGCAGAAGACCGTAAGCCCGTTCAGGGCCGACGCCCCCTTCTTGGTGATCACCGGCTTCGTGTGCAGCACAGTGCAGGGGAGCCTTCGTCGATTTGGGCAGCTGCTACAATTGTATGCTCGGTTAGCCTCTTACCAACATGAAAGCTAAGTAGATCTTGACGACCTCAAAAGCGATGCACTCTTTGACATAAGCTTGAGTAGAGGCTTTCAAGAAAAGAAGTTGGAAGCCGCCACCACTCGAGCCTTCGACTCCTCAAATTCTGGCGCCTGCTACAGGCGCCCTCTGATACAGCAAGTTTCGACTTTTTGAAAACCCGAGCCCTCAGCCCTGGGTAGCCGAGGCGACCGACTACACTCAAGCGCAGTGGTTCAGCAGCATGGCCGGCATTGGAAAGCTTTGGTTTTTCTGTGGGTTTAGAGTCTAGGGCAAGCTCAAAAGGGATTCCTCTTTGCGGGGGGTTCCCGAGGAGAAAGGACTCGACATGCCGAGCTGACACATCTTGAACCCTGTTATGGCCATGTGATTGCCATGGGCAACATGACCTGATGACCCAAAGAGGAGGTAGGAGGACCACGTAGACGCAGTCTACACACACACCTTCCGCTTTCTGGAGATACGTTCCGCGGTCCGAGGACTACTCTGCCACCATTTTTGCGAAGGTTTTGGATTCCTCCAACGTAACATTTTGGACACTGGTCTGCACAAGTGCAGAAGTCAGTCTACTTGGCAGCCACTGCATAGCCTTGCTTGGGAAGGGCCCTATTTGCAGGTTCTGCCTTGGGGCTTGTAGTTTGGAGTTTAGAGCTAAAAAGGTTAAGAACCTCCTCAGCCTCAAGGTTGATTTCGCAAACCCAGGTCAAGATGCCATGAGTTTGTGTGAGAACCTCTGGAAACGCACGTTTGCCCTACCGAGCTTGGCACACAGGAAGAACGTGAGTGGCGTCTATACGGCGGATCCGCGCGCAGCCACACGCCACTCATGAGATGGAGGGTCGCCGAGGATTGTTTTCCTTGGGGACCTATAAACCCATTAAGGCATATGAACCATAAACCCTTTGAGGTGGTTGAGGAGTACGTGCTTTGGGGCTTCTTGTTCGGAATCAATTTTCCGGTTCCAACATCTGCCTCGGAGCTTTGCGACAGATGCCCCGAGCCGGAGAACTTGCAAAAGCTTCACCCAAAGGCGTGTGGCAGCCAGATAGAAGTAGATCAGCCCCTGCAGGCAATGGCAGAAGGCTTCTGCAATCAGACAACCGGAACGCACCAGGACCCTGGCCACAAACTCATGTCAAAGACAGGCCCCGACAAGCCTCACGAATCCTGGGGAAGACTAAGGATGAATCTTAAATTTGGGTCCTCATCCCTTCCATAACCCTTAAGAACCCAAACGAATTCTCGTTTATCAGGGACCCCAGATCCCTGAAATCCCGAAACCCGAAACTCCTGAAAGCCTAAACCCTACACCCGGAAACCCTAAACCCCAAATCCCTAAACCCCAAATCCCTAAACTCCAAATCCCCAAAACCCAAATCCCTAGACCCTAAACCCCTTAGAACCATCTTGCGAGCCAAAGGTGCCGGAAACCCTCAACCCCTAACCCCTGAAACCGCTTAGGGTTTAGGGTTTAGGGTTTAGGGTTTAGGGTTTAGGGTTTAGGGTTCCTAGAATCATTTTTGCGAGCCAAAGGTGCCAGAAGCTTTCCCGATCAACTCCATGACTTTCGACGAAGCCATGGCCCAGGGCTCGGTGGTGAAGGGTTTGGGGTTTGCGGGGGTAGGGTTTAGGGGTTTAGGGGTTCAGGGGTTTTGGGGTTTAGGGGTTTAGGGATTTAGGGGTTTAGGGGTTTAGGGGTTTAGGGGTTTAGGGGTTCAGGGGTTTAGGGGTTTAGGGTTTTGGGTTTAGCGGGCCAAGTTTTTTTTTGTTTTAAAGGTGTGGCTCGACTTCAAAAGGTGTGGCTCGGGTCCAATGGTCCTCTGGTCCTCTGGTCCTCTGGTTTAGGGTTTAGGGTGTAGGGCTTAGGGTTAAGGGTTTAGGGTTGAAAAAAGGGGTTATAGGGGCGGGTTCCTCTCCTTTCTGGCGCAGTCTTGTTTCTCGTGCTTGGAGTCACCGAGATAGCTGTAGAGGTTGAATCTACAACTTAAGAACCCCCCCAAAAAAACAAATGCAAAGTATTCTGCCTTGTAAGGGTAAGGGGGTTCTTAAGATAGTAGTAGCACATAATGTGGTTTAAATGCGTGGCCGTTGGCGGGCTGGCTATGGGGATTTTGATGGTTGCAGAATGCTACAGGCGTCAGAAAAAGCCGGTCTCCAGTCTATATATGGGATGCCATATGTGTTTAAGTATCGAGAAAAGTGGCCTGGAAAACTTGGAAACAACAAGAAGTGCCATATAGCACGTGTCTTGCAGCAACGTCAGTGGCGCACGGCAATGGGGCAAGAATGCCCTGTCTCTGCAGTCATCTTCTGCACGTCTTTTCCATGCGGCACCAGGTCATTGCAGGTTTTTGTCTGCACGTCAGAGGCATGTTTGCTTGCCATGGGGCCCCAACCCAGGTCTTCCAAAACCCCTTAATTAGGGTTATATAGCCCTGCAGCATAGGCACTGGCTGGGCAGAAAGGGCAGCAGTCGAGTCCCTTGTGAAAAAAGGTATTTCGCCCTAATTTCTTGTAAGGATCCTTAGTACAAACTAGGGTATATACCTGAATTAAGGGGTTTTGGAAGATCTGGGAATGCATGCTCAGGAGCTTGCCTACTTCGGCGGTCAGGCAGGCGGTCCGATCAAAGTATACCAAAGTCTTCCCTCTCTTGTTCTGGAATAGTTTGCGTCACGTGAGCAGAACTGATGCTTTCAAGCAGCCCACTGTGGGAGGTTAAGGATAGGTGAAGGTTAAAGTGTAGGTCTGGGGGGTTTTGGGAGTAGAGGGAGACCTGTGCCCAAGCGGGTGCATCAAGATGTGAGATCTGCCGGAGTCTTTGAACTCCAGTAGAGACCTCTGCGGACTGCTGCAGCAGAAGCACAGCAAGAAGTGCAGCAAGTTACAGATCAAAGAACCGGAAAATGAGGGTGAGGGCCGTGAACGACATGACCCAATGTCATGTCAGAAGGTGCTCCACCCATCGGCAATGGTCCCCTGCATCGAGAATCGTATCCCTGCGCTCCTTCTGGTAAAGATCTACATGTCAGGCATTTCGGGATCAGGATGTTGGGATTGTGGTTTCGGGCTAACTTGCTGATGGGCAGACTTTTGTCAATAAGTTAACGGATGAAGGCCTATGGGCGAAGGTGGGAGAGGCATCCCTCAAAATGGCTGTGCTTGTTCGGCTTGTGTGTTGGGCCGTCACCATGAGGGTAGTTCAGGGGTTAGGAATTGCGTGCAGGAACATGCCTCTCTGCGAGTTTCTCCCTCCCTGGCCAGCTGCGTTCTGAAGTTAGGTTCGTACGGCAGAGCTCGCGGGGTCAACAAAAAGGTTCGTACGTTGGGTTCTCGGTTTAATCAGCATCTGGCATGTATCTTCTGAGTTGCGCTGAGGTGCTGGTGAAGTCACTCGGCCACAAAAGGCTAGGAGAGAACCGGGCCTTGCCCAGCATATTATATTATTAGAAACATTTATTACGATTAATAATATTCATAATCATCGAATGTCATTATTAATTAGTGTAACATCTACCCGCATGGCCAAAGACTCAAGATCTCTTGGCTCGGGATGTCTGCAGCTTTGGGTGCCCGCCTGGCACAAGGTCATGTGTGTTTGACCTCGGGCACGATAGATGTATAGATGTAACGGCTTCGTGGTTCAAGAACACTCGACTTGAACATCTGCGAGCATCAGCGACATCAAGGTGCAGTGGGAAGTCTCAGCAACGATGCAGGTAGTATTGCATATTGCCCTCCTGCGTGCAACCCGCTGCTCGAAACTTAACTCGCTTAACCTTGCAGACTTGCCCAATGGTATCACACGCAAGGAATGTCTTCGACCCGGCGCACCCTGGGACGCGTGCCTTATATTGCATTCTGATCCCTCAGTAAGGCCACTGTTTTCCGCAGACCCTCGGGCCAAAGCATCTCAACATGTCTCAACGGACGGTGGCCCGCACCCTTTTTCAGGCACAAGCCAGCCTCAACCTGGGCTGATGCCCCGCCTGAGCTTTAAAGAACATGCGAGCCTCAACCCTGCATCGCTGGAGAATTCTCCATTTTTGCACAAGCCAGAGCCACACGCACCCACACTGATTCTGTTCGCTCGTCTCAAAATCAGGACAATATGCCCATTTATGCCCTCCCAGACTGGCCACGAAATAGCAGACCTCCCCCTCTTGGTTCAAAAGCATTACAATAGCGCGGAATGTAGAGCAGAGGCCGGGCTCCCTGCCCTCCCCACCTTGCAGGAGGGATGTGCATCTTGAACCTAAAGCTCTTCAGTTCTCACCACTCCAAGAAAGGGCCAAGAGTACAGAGCCCAGGCGTCTATGGCCGTGGCGATGCTGTACTCCGCTGGGATGACCAGTCGGACGAGGACTCTGCCGATCAGATGCCTGTGAAGGCAATCACGTCCATCGAGAAGGCCCGCCCGGATGTTGTGGAGCCAAGAACAACCATGTGCTACCCAAATCCGCAACACAAGGCCGCATAATCTTGAAACCCTCCTGTTGCCTTGAGCCCACGGGATTGCTTGGTGTGGCTTAAATTGTGGGCTGGAACTAAACCCTAAACCCTAAACCCTAAACCCTAAACCCTAAACCCTAAACCCTAAACCCTAAACCCTAAACCCTAAACCCTGAACCCTGAACCCTGAACCCTAAACCCTAAACCCTAAACCCGAAACCCTAAACCCTAAACCCGAAACCCTAAACCCTAAACCCAAACCCTAAACCCTAAACATGTTTGCGAGCTCGTGTCCAGCAAGCCTACGCCTTGCTGGCGCTTGTAGTGCTTGGCCGCTTGTTCTGGTCTTTCCTGGCGGGCAAAAGGTGAGCCTCATCACAATTGCCGGGACGTCGTTCATGGGCACGCTGCTGGGCAGCAGCCACGGAACCCTAAACCCTAAACCCTAAACCCTATAACCTTTTGGAAACTCAATGGGTTCAGAGCCATTGGGCCCTCAGTCTTCTGCACGTTCTAACCGATGTTGCCGATCTTGTAGAGCGTCAGGGACAGTGTGAGAACATGTTGAAGGGCACAGTTCACCTATTTTTTTTCGGCAATTAGTTCATAGCACCCGAAATAATCCTGGCGAGGTTCGGGTTGTGCAACCCATAGTCTGTACAACTCCGTCCAGTGCTTCCAACCGCTTTCAGTTTGTATTCTGTACCTGTGCTTGTTCTGGCATACTTCCGTTCACAGCAACTGCTTCTGTCGAATCGCGGCAAACAGCTCGACCTTCAGAAGTTTGCGATTATCTGGACTGAGGCATGGGGTAGCGAAGCGATTTATGGAGGCGCCGGCGTGAGCTGCAACGGGTCACGCCGCATCAGTCGTTTAATTGCGTTGCGCGCTTAGCTCGCTTCACTTGTCACTTGCCCATCCCCGGAGATCAGCAACACAAGTACATTGATAAGACAAAGGATGTATTTCTATCGGTGTATTCAGGACGCATTCTGGTTTTCTTCCGGCAGGCATGGTTACAAGGATACAATGATGCTAAATGCTGATGCTACATGTTGAAGCGAGTTTTTTAAAACAAGGCTGGGCCCTTGGGTACGAGCCGGTGTTTTTTTTTCCCCACCGTTTTTGTGTGTTCAAGGGTGCGATTGGTCCCAAAGCAAAGCACTCCCAACCGAGCTTCTGGAGAGGCCTTGTCCAATGTGGGCGTCAACGTGATCTTGACTTCTCAGGGCTCATCTGAGCACTCGATCACTGCACCCTGGCGACGATTAAATATGTAACATAAATATAGTTATTCTTCATAATAATATGAGACATTATCATATAAACAATTCTAAGAGGTTTGGTCTTTGTGTGTGAGAGTGTCGGAGGCAATGGCTCGGTCTTAGGTGTTCTAGGGCTTAATTAGGTCTCCCGGGCAGGGATGGAAGAGCGTCGGCCGAGGATTGCTCCAGAGACGTTGGTTGAAAGCGCAAGGGCGGTTTCTAAGCAAGTGAGGCAAGTGGAGGCTTCCCGGGTGTGGTTTAGGGTTTAGGGTTTAGGGTTTAGGGTTTAGGGTTTAGGGTTTAGGGTTTAGGGTTTAGCGGGATTCTTGGCAGCATTTCGGCAGCGCCCTCAGCATTCCGGCAACGCCCTCAGTCCGGCTGCAAAAAAGGGTTTAGGGTTTAGGGTTTAGGGTTTAGGGTTCCCTAAGGCCGAGATGCACTGGCCTTCAGGGCTTACCCCGGCGCACCCCGGCACCACCCGACTGATTCGGCCTAGGTCGCCGTGGCAGACACAGACGGCAAGATGGCAATGCGGGCAGTCGAGTCTGCGCCACTTTGGTCTTTAGGGTTTAGGGTTTAGGGTTGGTTGGGAGGTCTGTGCTGTGCTGGTCTTTTAGATTCTTGGGTTTACCCCAAAGCATCCCGTGAATCAAGAGGAATAGCTTCTTGAGCCCACGGCGTGCATGTGCAATGTGCTTTGGGTGTCGAAGCCTAAATCACCCTTTCAAAGCCCGCTGTGAGCCCCCAAAAGACCATGAAACTCTTCCTAAATCCTTCAACCCTACAGGGAGGGGCCCCCTTACTATACTAACTGTAGTTAAGGGACTTATAACCTGATTTAGGATCCTTATAACCCAATTTAGGGCTCTTATAACTCTGCTTAGAACTAGGGGGCCCCACCTTGTAAACCTGTACACGCCAAGCCACTTCGAGAACTCAGGTTCCAGTTTGAGATTCAGCAGGTGGGCTCCGAAACCCGGGTGACGATGATGGAGGGCACTTTTGCCTGACTTGGGTGGTAGATCTGCAGGATAACTGGGTCCCTGTTGGTTATAATTTTGCATGTTTTGTCCTAATTAAATTCCCAATAAGGAGCAAAAATCATAATTTTGAATATGACCCCCACAAGGAAGCAGATAAGGGGTGGTGTTGGGATGAGGGTTTCAGGCCATGAGAGGCATCGCCAAGAGAGAGGCCCAACTGGAAGAAGAGTGAGATGGTGTTTTAGGGTTTAGGGTTTAGGGTTTGGGGGTGCCGCCGTCCATACATGGGTCATCCTCTAAGCATCCGATACGACCATCAATTCGTCACTTGCCCTCGCATGAAGCTGCGCACACTTCCCGGTGTGAGGTGTGGGGGTGTGTGAATGCAGGTTGCAGCCGGAAACCTGCAGAAAAAGCCCCGAAGCGCTCATGAAATCATTAAGCCCTGGACTTTGTGCCTAAGTCACGGCAAATCCTTGCCTCGGCCCGGACATCTTGAACCATGCGCACAGGTGTCGCACGACTAGAGTCGCAACAGCCCAAGAAAACTGTCCAGCCCTGCAACCCCATGATGCTGAGGCCTGAGCATTCTCGCGGTGATTGGAGAGGGAATGAATCTTGGCAACGCTTTGCGGCTTAGGGTTTAGGGTTTAGGGTTTAGACTTTAGGGTTTAGGGTTTAGAGTTTAGGGTTTAGAGTTTAGGGCTTAGGGTTTGTACTGCACGGCTGAATCAGGGTTCGTCTTGCTGTGTGCTGACTTGTGGGGGTTTTATATATGCTCTTGTTGGATACGAGAGCCAGCCGTTCCGAAGCCTCAATCGGCGGAAGGCCTGCTGGCTGCCTGACGCTTAGGGTTTAGGGTTTAGGGTTTAGGGTTTAGGGAAATCGAGAGCACAGCATGCCCAGCCTGGAGGATGAACTCCCGAACTCTGGCCATGTCTTAGCACCACGCGCACCTTACATCACCGGCGTGTACTCTCGCATAGGAAGAGCCCGACTCGGTGTCACATCACGTCCTCATCTAGTCCGCAGTAAGCCCCGGGAGCATCTCTTGTCCAGATCCAGGAAGAACTCCACTGGAATCTCCGGGCGCTTCTTCAACGCCCTGGGGCGGTCAAAGGCAACCGCTGCCTTCAAGCAATCCTCTTCGGAAGATGTAGGAGCTTCTGGCAGCCTCCAAAAGCTTGACTCCAAGGCCCAAAGGCCCCATCTCCCCATCTCTCTCCCCCTCCCCCTCCTCCTCCTCCTCCTCCTCCTCCCTCCAGTCCAAACATGATATGAGGGTGACCCGATACTGGTGCCACGTTCTGAGTCCTGATGCCATGGACATCGTGATGACACATGGTTGCCAAAGCGCTGTCGGAGGTGAACATTGTGGCCATCGCGCAGGGCTCCTCCGAAAGAAACATTTCTGCCGTGGTCAGTCGGAAGCTCGACTGAACCGCATGTTTTGGGGCCTCGTGTTGTTCTGTAGGCGCGATTGTATTCTATTATTGCATGTATGCCTGTCAGAGAGCGGGAGAAGAAGAAGAAAGACAGAGAGACTGGCATACCCATCTCCCCTGCTCTTTTGGGAGCCATGCTCGCCGGAAGGAAGGAAGAGAGAGAGAGAGAGAGAGAGAGAGAGAGAGAGAGAGAGAGAGAGGGAGGGAGGGAGGGAGGATGGAGAGGGAGGGGGGGAGGGGGAGGGGGAGAGGGAGGGGGAGGGGGAGGGGCGAGGGATAGGGAGAGGGAGGGAGAGGGAGGGAAAGGGAGGGAGAGGGAGAGGGAGGGAGAGAGAGGGAGTGAGAGATAGAGAAGATGAGAGAGGGAGGGTTATCATGGCTTTTGCCTTCGGCAATAAGATTATGGGCGTTTTGTGGGGGCCGACCATGCCTGGCACGCGACGCTCCTGTTCACTGCTTGGGGGGACACACCTCTACCAAAAGCCACCCCAAAAGCCCTCGAACCTCTGTTGCTTTACAGGCCCCACGGGCGAGCTCCTCATGGTCCTCTGAGTAATCCATGACATGATCTCACCTTCCAGGCTTAAGTTGTACATCTGCGTGTAGCTAGGTGCAAATTTTTTTTTGCAGCCCAAGAACCCCTACCTTGCAGGGAAGACCTTTCCCTTGCATTGCGGGCCACGCACGACGCGTTTTTGATGAAGGAGTCGACGATCTCCGTCAGTCCCCTGGCTGCGCTCGTAGGTCTGGGGTGTGATTGGGGCTGTAGGAAGTCAGTAATGTTGGACCTGCTTTAACAAGTTACCCCCCCCCCCCTCAACAGTCGCGACCCTGAATAAAAAAAGACCCCAAACAGTCGGGGGGGGTGGGGGGGGGGCAGAGAAATGAGCTCTCTTCTTAGTTTGGGATCCGGGAACTTGACTCAAAAGCCATTTAACAAAACAGGCCCGGCCCGAAACATTTTCATTATTGCGGACCCCCAAAACAGAGGGCCAAGATCCTGAATAGACGAAAAACTTTTCGTAATAGCGTCCCCCTAGAATATTGCGGGTGCAACATTAGTTGGCCGTATAGAGTCTCCCACAGCAGCAAATCCTGCAGAAATCGCCCAAGAATCCCGTAGAGCATCCAGAGAGTGCGCACCCTTCCCTGGCCCTCCCACGCCAGCAAATCCTGCAGAGAATCGCCCAAGGGGAGTCTTATTGAGTATCCAGAGAGTGCCCACCCCAAGAGAGTCATGCAGCCGGGCCGTCTGCCCTCTGAGTCTTTTTTGAGTCTTTCAGCTTCTTGAGCCCTGCGATGCGAGTTTGGCAGAGCTTTTCCGACTCCCATGGTCCCATGGGGATTTGTGAGCTTCGGTTTTTTGCCCCCAGGGTGCCACGGCAGGGTTTTGGGTTTAGGGTTTTCAGCTTTCAGGCGTCGTGGGCGGTGGCGAGATTGGCACGGCCTTTGTGAACCAGCTGGTGCCTGGATGGAGATTTAGTATTCGGTCGAGGGAATGCGATGGGGTCTGCACTGCGAAGGGTCGACCAGTTGGTATGGTCTGGTATTCGTGGATAGGCACGTGCTGTGCTTTCCTCGGGCTTCTACTTGTTGCATCCGTCACCACTCTCAAGTGTGCTGGCAGACTACCACGGAGGATAGTTTGGACTTCCTTGGGGTTTGAGTCAGGAGTAGTGTTGGGCCAACTGTTGTCGCAGAATCCAAGACCCGTGGTCCGGAACTTGCTCCTGAACCCTAAACCCTAAACCCTAAACCCTAAACCGTAAACCCTAAACCCCAAACCCTAAACCCTAAACCCTAAACCCTAAACCCTGAACCCTGAACCCTGAACCCTGAACCCTGAACCCTAGGTGCGATGGCAGACAGAGGAAGGCAGGGACTTTACCCTTCCCTCCCTGAGGGAGGTCCAGTGCCCATGCTGCGGTGATTCAGATGGTGGGTTTGCCGCGAAGGGGTCAGGGCTTGGGGGGGTGGAGGCGAAGAATGTAAGAGCTCCTTTGCTGACCCTAAACCCTAAACCCTAAACCCTAAACCCTAAACCCTAAACCCCTGTCTAGCCGTACTGCAACATATAGAAACAAGAGCCGGAGGATGCCAGAAGCCCGGAACTTCGAAACCTCCCTACATCCTGCAAGCCCCCCCACGGCAAAGACTCCCTAAACCCTAAACCCTAAGCCCTAAGCCCTAAGCCCTAAACCCTAAACCCTAAACTGCGAGCTCCTCTGGTCCAGGGCTTGTATAGTCCATGTCGACCCCCCCCGCCCTTTTTTGCCTGAAGTCGAACTGGCCCCGCTTGGAAAGTCGCAGAAGCAGCTTCTGAGCGTTTGATGTAGGCTTTGAGGAAGGCTGTGGGGCTTGGGATTCAGGCTTTCGGGCAGCTTAGGTACATCAACATCGACCTCCGATCATTCTGTGACTCAAACAAGATGCTCGGCTGCTAGTTGTTTGGAGTTCAGGGGATGAACGGGGATGAAGTGTGAGAGGTGAGAGAGGGCCTGAAAAGATGCTTCCGTTCTTGGTGTTTGTTCTGCAAATTTCCGCAGTCACTCATGGACACAGGATGCTTCTTGCACAAAACGGGCTGCCCTTGATCAAGCTCCAGGACAGCATCACAAATGGAGCCTCAGCACAAGATTAATATTGGGGTCGGAAGAAGTACTAATAATATCCCCTTATGGTCCCTTTATAACTATACTAAAATAACCCTCACAACCCTATCCTAATCATTTCGGCCCCTTTGGTATTCAAGTGGGCTGGTGCGCACCCACAACCTTCGCGTCGGATCGAAGGGAAGAGGATTGCTAGGCGTATCAACGCTGTAGCAGAGTACGAGGCGGTGGCCCCATGACCTCCTGCATGGAATAGAAACCGAGAACCCTCCTAATCCAATACCTTTAAATCAAGGCTGTGTTTGTCTTGAAGCTGCTCGGAGCCTAAAGGCTTTGAATCTCCACCCAACAGCCCAAACCTGAAGCCCAGCCTCCCCAAGCCTAGAAACCCCTGACGTCTTTACCTGTCCTCCGTGCATGGGAGTCTTGCTTAGGAGTCTTCAACCTAAAAGAGATTGCCGACGAGTGGGAGAAAGCAGGCGCGATGTTTTGCAACGTGTGATAAGTTCCAGCATGCCCAAGCACTCGGACCGTACCGATTATTTTGCCCAGTGCTTGGGTGCCCAGTGGGGCCCAGTGGCATACCCTTTATATGAAAATAATGGGTTCCCTTATTAGGTAACCAACCCAATTATACTATGGTTAGTTTCTAGGTAAGATGCAAACGAGACACGGCAAGGTTCAGCGACCAGAGCCATATGACTGAGGTTCTTGCAGTACTCGTTGTCTTGGCGATGAGCATGCAGCCATGTAAGTCAGACTATCGCCGCATGGCGGGGCGCTGGGAGTGGTTTGGGCCCCAGACGTTGGGGAGTAATTATGCTAGGCTTACGGGGAAGTATCAGACAAAGCTACGAGTCTGGTACAAGAGAAGCAAGCCAATACTTACAAACCTCTTATCCTATCCGAATAATGAACGATGTATGCTCTAAAAGCTGTCTGCTCTATGAGAGAGGGAGGGACAGAAAGAGAGTTGCCAGAAGCAAAAACGAAGGACCCAAAAGAATTAAACAAATAGTTACAGAAATTATTACCACCACCACCGCCGCCGCCACCACCACCGCCACAACCGCCACCACCGCCACCGCCATCGCCACCGCCACCGCCACCGCCACTGCCGCCGCCGCCACCGCCACCACCACCACCACCACCACAACCACCTACAACATCAAGAGCAACTACTGCTACTAGTAACACGACCACTACTCCGAGAACGACTACTGCTCTCACAACTAGTGCTACGACGACGACGACGACCACGAGGAGGAGGAGGAGGAGGAGGAGGAGGACTACTACTATTACTACTACTACTACTACTACTACTACTACTACTACTACTACTACTACTACTACTACTACGACAACTACTACTACTACTACTACTACTACTACTACTACTACTACTACTACTACTACTACTCCTACTCCTACTCCTACTCCTACTCCTACTCCTACTCCTACTCCTACTCCTCCTCCTCCTCCTCCTCCTCCTCCTCCTACTCCTACTCCTACTCCTACTCCTACTCCTACTCCTACTCCTACTCCTACTCCTACTCCTACTCCTACTCCTCCTCTTCCTCCTCCTCCTGCTGCTCCGCCTACTGCTACGGCTACTACTCCTACTGCTATTGGTGCCATTGCTACTTCTGCTACTTCGACTATACTTTTGCAATTTATGTTTGATCAAGTTCTTTCATTGTCCTGGTCCCTGGCAGTTCCCGCTGTTACGCTGTGCTTTTCGGTTTTGGCTTGATGGATTCTGGCTTTCTTGCTTTTCTTGATCCTGGTAAGATGGAGTTGGCGTTGATGATTCTTCATGTTGATAGCTCACCCCAATGGACCGCGGAAGGCCAAAGTCAAAGTCCTGAAGATAGATCGCACACCCTGAGCCCTAAACCCTAAGCTTTTGTGGACTTCCAGAACAGAGGTTTGGGACTTAGCAGAGAGCCCCTGGTTGAACAAACGCGCGGGGGTGTGGGGTAGAGCATAACAAGTTGGGGGCAGTTTGAGAAGAGGAGCCCCCCAGCCAACTGAACCCACCTGAGCCCTAAACCCTAAAGTTTAGGGTTTAGGGTTTAGGGTTTAGGGTTTTGGAAGAGGCAAAGCGGTGAGCGAAGCCTTGACGGACGGAGTCGAGATGGTGGACACGGACACCTCTCTGATTTGGGCCTGCGCTCTGAGGCTATGAGTCCTGAAGCCCCCTAAACCCTAAACCCTAAACCCTAAACCCTAAACCCTAACATTCACTTTCTTTCAAGAGCCCGATGTGCAGAATGTACCATGCACTTACAGGGAGAGGCTTGGACCTATTTCAACCTTTAAACGTTGTGCTCCTGGGGCAAGACGTCCTTGGCAGGGAGGGTCCTGTTCTGCATGCAGGGGTGGCGGGCTGTGCTGGAACCGGACTCTACTAGGACTGCTGCCGTTGCCTTTAAAAAAGAAAGCAGCCCCCCCCACCCCCCCCCGGGAGCATCAACGTTGCAGCTGAGGACTTGGACCACTTCGTCCAGTTCACGGAGTCTAAGGAGTACCCTCACAAGGTCTTCGAAAGACTTCGGGTTTAGGCGGTTTCGGGTTTGGTGTTCTTTCTCTGTTGGAGGGGATGCTCTGAAAGCGGTTGTGTGCGCGAGTAGCTGGCGCTGGTCTTTTGGGTTCTCAGGCTTCAGGGCGGCGACTTAGCTGGGAACTTACCTTGTTTGGCTACTGTTTCCCGCTCCCTTGGCCCAAAAAATGCATGCTGCGCCGGCATGTCGGCTGTGTCATGCGAGCCATCAAGGCGCGCACGCGTGTCTGGAAAGCCCAGACCAGGATGGGCTATTAGGCCCTCTCATCCCCATAGCCAACCCTATAAGGGGCCTTTTTAAGGGGTTATAGGGCCTACTAGCCCGTCCTGGGACGGACAGTTCCCCCCCAGACCCTTCAAGGTGATCGTTGATTGCAGCAGCTCCGCAGACATTGCCGCCAAGACGCTCGGCGTTCTGAACCCTCTCTCTCTCTCTATAAATATATATATATATATATATAGATATAGATATAGATATATATATGTTATATAGATATATAGATATACATATGTATATAAATATATATAATATCCAAATAAACCCTAAGTCGCAACCTGGAAGCCGAAACCTCAAACTCAAGTCATCCTTTAGGAAATCCAAATTCCAATGCTCTTCATCAACGGTCAGATGCTTTGCAGGTGCAGTCTTTTGAAGCGAGTTGTTCAACATAAGTTCTGGCTGACCGATGACTCAGGGCAAGAGTACAATCTGTCCTTGCTGACTGCGCACGTTTCAGTTTGGAGTCAGAGAAGAAGGGGCCTGCTGTTTCAGGCTGCTGGGTAAAGCTGGGATACCCGGGCGACAGAGATCACCTCAGAAGAAATCGGGTTCGTGAGCTTGTACATAACATTCTGGGCGCTGGAAGTTTGGGTTTGGAAATCCCTAAACCCTAAACCCTAAACCCTAAATCAGACACGTGCCCGGAAACGCCCCAAAAACAATTCAGGTATCCCGAGTGGCTGCAGCGGGGCTTCCATGTATGGGCCTCATCGGGCGTTCGCCAATGCCTGTAATCAAGAGCAAACCAGTTTGTGGTTTAGGGTTTAGGGTCAGGGTTTAGGGTTTAGGGTTTAGGGTTTAGGGTCTAGGGTCTAGGGTTTAGGGTCTAGGGTCTAGGGTTTAGGGTCTAGGGTCTAGGGTTTAGGGTCTAGGGTCTAGGGTTTAGGGTTTAGGGTTTAGGCGCCCAAAAAAAAGGAGCTATTTACAACCCATTGTTAGCTTGTACGGCGCTGTAGATGATGGACTGTCGATCCCGGCCACCCAGGAAGCTTTGCAAGACCCGGACATGGGTCCAGGTTTGGGGGTTTAGGGTTTCGGGTTTAGGGTTTAGGGTTTAGGGTTTGTGACCTGTGCAGGGTTATTATATAATTGCTCAAGGAGGATTGGGTGATGAATCCTATCTGGGCTGTTCGACATCCTTGTCTCAGTTCAAGTGCCATCTCTTACAATGACTACCTCGCATCATCAAGCTGAAAGTACCTTGTGGTGTGGGTGACCATGGCACGCACCCTAAACCCTAAACCCTAAACCCTAAACCCTAAACCCTAAACCCTAAACCGGAAGTCGAAGCTGGAATCGTTTTTAGTAAACATCAAATCGCTGGCGGTTCTGAGGTGATCACCCCGAACAGATCTGCCTTGATCGGCTCTTACAAGCAATACCAGGATTGCTTGCAGTACGTTGGGTCGCTCGGCGAAGATGTGGACTACAGGGCAGAAGTAGACATGAGTAAGGGTGCGCAAGCGAAAACTTCAGCGAAACACGCAACTCACCTGGTACTCGGAGTCGCTGTGCGCAAGCGAAAACTTCAGCAGAACACGCAACTCGCCGGGGAGCAGTTTTTCTCGCCAAAAACCGCTGCGCGTAGGGCTGCCAAGCTTACGTTGGCAAAATGGTGTCGCGACACCATACGTAAACTCAAAACACCGACAACAGTAAATCAACGCAGACTAGAGCAACATGCAAACGGTACACACGGCTGATCCATTGCCCGCAACACAAGACCTATGCCTGAAACACTTTGCACAATACCCAGTGTGCGCGCTCCGGGCAAGAGCGGTAGGCCTCGCCGAAACCCGACGCTTCACTTTTGAAGGAAGGACTCTCAGACTTGCGCTTGCTGCTTTGCCCTGACTGCGCCCTTTCGCCAGATCCATTCCGACTCCTACAGCTACCTCCTGTGTCAGCTGGCACGCGTGATAAGATCCGGCCTTGACACCGATATCTGTGGCCACGCTCCATCCCGCGGTCCAAAGACTGAACAATTCTGCCTGGTCAACCGGACACAGCTGCATTCCATCGAGCCTGCTATCCTCAACTTCTGTGGGTGCAATGAGTAGTAGTTGTCTCCACCTTTCCACACGTTCTGGGTCACGAATGCGAACCAACACCCTGCAAGGATCAGATGGCTGGGTTCGAGTGGCTCCTTCCAACGTTAGCTTCCCCACTGTGTTTTTGAGAACGCCATGTGCAGTTGAAAACATTGACGGCCCCCCAGAAGAGCTTTGATTTGTGCTTCTGAAGAACCCTAAAGCTCCAAATAGCCCAAAGCAGGTATTATTTATAGACTTTAGACCCTAATGTAGGTATTATTGGTATACTTGGAGCCCTAGGGGAACCTTTGCTTGGCGGTCAGCCGTTGGCTCGGCTTCACCAGTGGCTGTTCTCAAGTCCCTCGAAGGTTTGCAGAGAACGTAGTCCTGAGCAAGTGAGTGAGGGAGCCCGCGGCGTGAGAGGACACGGCATGGGGGCTTCACTGTTAGTGACTCTGATGTGAGCGTCGAACTGCAAGCTTGCGCCTCATGAGCTATCAAAAGGTGATTCAAGGTGATGCTGAGCTCTGTTGCATTCTGGCACCCAAGGCAGCGGGGTGCCGCGCAGTTCCGCTACGATGCCACGGCGCGGCATGGGACATACGCCTTCCTTCTCCTTCGGGAACCCTGATTGGCACTCTCTAACACTTGCTCCTGCTTTTTCTCTCGCTCTCCCTCTCTCCCTCCCTGCCCAGTTCTATGTGGCAATGTGCTGGAGCTACGACGCAATCATTGCTTTTTGCTCGCTGCAACTAACTGTTCCCTCCTGCGCGCTATCCACTCAGACCGTCTTTGTCCCAACTAGCCAACAGGATCTGGCACAAAGAGTCCAATCCCGGACAATCCCCCCAGAAAAGCCTTGAAACCGGACAATAACAAGCCGATGTTCCTGCGGTAGTGGACTAGTGGACCCCGAATGGTCAGATTCCAGCTGCTTGCCCTGGGTGCAGGTGGGCGGTCAGATTCCCATCATCACCTTGTTGCAGGACCTCTTGCAGACAGGCTCGGACCCCAAGCCCTTAAACCGGCTTCCTGCATTTCGGACTTGTAGGGGCACCACCTGAGAGACGGGATCCGGCGGTTTCATTCAAGCAAGAACAGCCGGAGCATCCAGGAAACATCAGGGAACATCAGAGAATTAGGGATTCGGAGCAACAGGGTCGCGGAAGCCCAAACGCTACATCGCCGTCTTCTGAACCCCCATTGCATGAGAGTCTCTGCACACATGGCTTTGTGACTTTGTGCGGGGGTAGCGAAACCCTAAACCCTAAACCCTAAACCCTAGATTTTGGCTCAAGTTGAGATCACAGGTTTGAGTTTTGGATTCAGCTTGAGTAACCCTAAACCCGAAACCCTAAACCCTGAACCCTAAACCCTAAACCCTAGGGGCGGGTTTGCTTTTGCAGGAGTTCCGGTATTTAAATTCCCTAAACCTCAAACCCTCAAGCCCTCAAGCCTACCCAAACTCTAAACCCTGACGACACCTTACGAGGCGGACCTGGGACGGACGTGCGCGTGCACAGACATACAGCGCACTCGTGTCCCGTGCGTCTCGCGGTCATGTTGCCGGAGTATGACAGTCAGAGTCCCCCTCCGGCGGATGACGAGCTTAGGTCAGTCGACCCCGATGGTCCGGGGGGGATGTTGGCGGTCCTACAGACACAACCGGATCATGAGCGCCGGCAGCTGCAGGCAGCTGCGGAGGCTGCGGCCAGGCTGACGCGCTCGCTGGATCAGGGTGGGGCTGAGGGGGGGGATGGCGACGGGGGGGGATCGAGGGCAGGGGGGGCGGGTGGGGAACCTGTTTGCGCGGAGCGCCTGGCCCTTCAGGGGGATGCGGCGGCTGCTGCGGCACTGCTGGCCGCCACCACATCCATGCCCGTGAATAGCATCGCTTTGCCCGCCGCGGCCTTTTCCACGGGGGGGGCTGCTCGTAAGGAACGCACGCATTCCCAGGAAGCCAGCCCAGAAAAACGCCTCCGTACACAGGAGTGCCTCCCTAGCTTTGGCGACGCTAGGGCCGCTGAGGGGGCTCCGGCCCATAGAGCTCCCCCGCTGTTCCATGGGGGTCGTGGGGATCACCCCCTCCCGGGGCCCCCCCCCTCCTCCGGGCCGCAGCATTTCCTTTTGGATGAACCGACGTGGGTGGGAGGGCTCAGGGATCAGTTGAATCATCTGCACGGTAAACAGGACACCGCCTTGGCCCAGCTGAGTGACGCGACCGCTCAAATACAGACACTCACAGCACAAATGGGGTCGCTGGGGGACACGGTCCGGGGCCACGATACGCGCCTTGGGACGGCAGAGGGCCGTCTCGGAGAGCTTGAAGCAGAGGTCCGACGTCTTCGGTCGGTCAGTCCTAGTCCTGCCGCGACGCGGGGCAGCTCCCCGCGCTTCTCGCAGGCCGGCTCGTCCCTGCCTGACCGGCACATAGACGATTTCCAGATTGTGGTGGGGGGATGGGATGAGGCCCGTCGAGTGGAGATCGAGGGGGAGGTCACTCGCTTGTTCTCAGATGCCCAGGCCGAGGCCTTGCTTAAGCGCGTCCATGTACCGTATGCCAGATCTCGTTACTGTCGTGTGGAGTTGCTGTTCCCCGACGACCGCCCGCGTGCCAAAAGGGAGCTACAGGGCACGGTGCTGCATGCCTTACGCCAGCGCATCAGTGAAGGCAGCCGCTTGCCCGGTCAGGGCTCGGCACGCTTGTGGGCTAAGCGCAATCGTGGGCCTGAGGAGAGGGCTAAGATTCGTGCTATTGTCTCCATGAAGGCACTGGCCTTGGAGTTTGTTTCGGAAACTGACGTGGACTTCGACTGGTCTGGGCGGGTCTGGGTGAAGGGGCGGGAGATTTTGTTCCACGCCGACCGTCGCCCCCCATTTGACGGGGCGGTCATGCTTCAGAATGGTCGAGGGGAGGACACGGGCTGGTATGTGCGTTTGGGTGACTTTGCAGCCCTCTTGGGGGTCGCAGAAGAGACGCTCCGGCAGCGACTGGACCTTCGCGATGAGTGACTACCGGGGGGACGGGCCTGCGCGCAAACGCGGGCCGGGGCTTCCAGGGAATTGGTCTGCATGTCGTGGAATTTGCATGGTAAGTCGCTGGAGGCCCTTGCTGATCTGATGACAGGCACATGTGCGCCGCCTGATGTGCTGATGCTTCAGGAACTGGGAGGGATACGAGACTTGGAGTTGGGGGCCCAGAGGGTCCAGGAGTGGTCCCTTGGCCCTAAAATGTATAACGTCTATGTAGTCAACACCACAGCCAGCTTCCGGTGCGTGGCAGTAGCTGTGTGCACGGCGCTCATCCATGCTCGCCCGGAGGTCGTGCCCCATCCCCTTGGACTGTTAGTTAAACTTGCTAGCAACAGGGGTCATTTCTGTTTGTCCTCCCTTCATTTTCCGCATGAACAGCGAGCGGACGCCGTGGAGGTATGGACCACTGGAATTCAGAGTTTGCAAGTGCAGTTATCAGCTCTCTCTCAGCATACACAGATTGTTCTTGGCTGTGATCTTAACCAGAATTACGCGAGCCCGGTAGACAGCTTCCCCGGCATGTCCCATATACGCAGTCTCGTACATGTTCATGGCTTGCGTGGTTCCGCTCCATTGGGCGGGACGTGTTCAGGACGCACGGGTGCCGGGCTCAGTTTTGGAAAGATGAGGGTATGCGACAGGCTCTCCCCAGTGACCATGACCCCATCTTTCTGCAGATCACGGTATCCGCACATTGGTTTCACAGAACGTGGCGACCTCAGGATAAAACGGGGCAGTGGAACTATCGCTCGGAGATCCTAGAACAAGGCCTCCGGGACCCCGAATTCACCTACAACCAGGACAGTATTGCAGAGTTGTGTCAGAAGGCGGCCACGCGCCCCCCGAATTTACGGTATTCAGACTCCCCCCGAATTCAAGAATTAATTGCAGAGCGCAAGTCGTGCATGTGCCCTGAAAAACGTGCCCTCCTCATGAAGCAAATTCGGGAAACCCGGACTGCGGACAAAGCGCAGCACAAGACGGACCTCCTCCAGAGGGCCCGCCAGGGTGACCGCCGAGCCATCTCCTTCTTGCGACGAAGCGCGGCGGGGGCATCCTTTGAGGGAGGGTATGTGGCGGCTAGGGGTGGGCTTCAACAGGCGGCGGAGGAACTCGCCGACTTCTACCGACACAAATACGCCCGGGAAGATGCGGAACCGGATCCGGTCAGAGTTCACGCGCTCCGCGCTGCCGCCTCTGTGGCCCCCCCCCCCGCCCCCATCACCCATGAAGATTTGGTGGCATGCATACAGGAGATGAAGCGAGGTGTTAGTGGAGGTCTTGACGGGGTTACCTACGAGGGTCTTCTCCAGATAGCCTTGATGGATACCCAGCATAAGCTGGCAGGTTACTTGACAGACATACTCCAGGGGCGGCTCGCGCTGCCTCCCTCGTGGAGCCACGGGAAGATCACACTCATGCCCAAGGTGTCGCAGCCGCAGGGTCCTAAGGACCTCCGCCCCATCTGCCTGACGCCTTGCCTTGGCAAGGTCTTTAGCAAGATCCTCATGCGCAGGGTGCGCGACGCGTCGCCGCCATATCAGGCGGGCCAGATGGGCTGTCGTCCGGGATCGCAGGCCATAGACGGAGTGGCGGCAGCTCAGATGATCGTTCAGCAGCTTCGATCTCGGGGCCGCTGTGGAGCCTGCGTGGCCAAGCTGGACATACGGGCGGCCTTTGACACGCTCTCGCACTCGGCGATCCTGGAATGGCTCCGACAAGGCCGGCCAACGACCGAGAAGGTGCTGCTGTGGGAAATGTGCGTCCAGTCCAGGATTACTATGGGCATTGGCGCCCGCCGGTGGGACCAACAGTTAGAGAGGGGCGTCTTGCAGGGCACCTCCTACAGCGCGGACCTGTTCTCCCGTGTCATCGACTGGTTTCTGGGTCCGCTTATCGAGCATTGGAGGACGGAGAGGTTCCCGGACTGGGAAGCTCGGGTGGGGCCACTAGCCCACCTGCTCCTTTATGCTGACGACCTCCTCGTCTTCGCCGACACGCCCGCCGACCTGCAGACTAAGGTGCAAGGGATCGAGGACTGTCTGGCAGCCATAGGGCTGCGCATTAATGCATCTAAGTCAACAGTCTTGGGCCAGGTTCAGGGGCCCGCCCCGGGGGTTTGGCTCAGAGGGCAACCCCAGCCCATGCCTGCGGAGGATCACCTCTTGTATCTTGGCGTACCCCTATCGTACATCCTGGACACTGAGGTCATGATCGGCCATGGTCTGCGCAAAACTTCCAATACGTATTATGCCTTCCGTAGACTCCTTCAAGGCATACACACCCCCCTCAAGCTCAAAATGTTGTTGTTTGACTCCTACATCACTTCTAAGTGGGCGTGGTGTGCCCCGGTGTTGTGGCCCAGTGCAAAGCTCCTTAGGCGCCTCACAGCCCTGCAACATACCTATTTGCTGGGCATTCTGGCCTTCACGTCGGATTTTGTATTGGGCTGGTTGGGTAATGAAATTGCCAAGCGACGGGCAGTCCGGGAGGTGTGTGACCGCCTCTTGCAGGGTCGGGCAAAATGGGCAGAGATTTGGGTTCGTCGGGTGTGGAGGTACTGGGGGCATCTTAGCAGATCGGAAATGAACACCCCGGTGGTGTCCATGTTCCGGACGTGCTACTGGGCGGCGGTGGCCACGGGAGCAACCCGGCCGGTGTGGGTGCAGGACACCGCCCCCCGCAGGCTGCAGAGGGCGTATATGCGCTTTCGTAAGGATGCGTGGCCGGCCGCTTGGGAACTGCTTGCGCATAGACGCCCTGACTGGACGCTGGCGGAGGATGTCTGGTCGCGCTACTGGATTGCAGAATCCCCTGCGCTTGGCCATCCCGACATGTTGGGGGGTAGGCAACTGCTCCTTCTTGGAGACCTGTCGGCCATACTAAGGCCGTCCAAGATGCCACCAGAGCTACCCTACGCGCGGGCAGTTGTTTGTGTGCCCTACTATACTAGCTCGGCTCGCCGGGACAAGTGGGTCATATGGCTGGTAGATGGGAAGACCGCAGTCACCGCAGCCATTTGTCCTCCAGGAGGTGGCCCCGACACCCACACCTGGATGCAGATGCGAAGCCCCTCGCCCCCAGCCTCGGCCGCGGACAGTATGGCCCGGAAGTGGCGCTTCCTGCGCACGTGCCGCGGGGCCCTCCCCGGTGATGCCGCCGCAGTCCTCGCTCTACCCTCCACTCTTTTCGTACGCCATGTGTTGGAGCACCATGTGGGACTGACTGATTGGACGCATGTCATGAGCATAGAGAGACTACATGTGCAACTGCCATGGCTTTTGGATGAGTGCACGCTGCAGCCTAAGAAGACCCCCAAGGATTTCCAGTTGGTCTGCGAACAAGCGGCCCAGTCCTTCCCTCCGGGCCGACGGTTCCTGCTTCGCGATGCTTCAGGCTCCACTGCGCAGTTCTTCTAAGGAGGGGGGGGGGGGGCGGGACAGCCCGGAAATAGACGCGTCCGCGGTAGAGCAGCTAGGGCAGCCATGTCATGTCCGCCGCCTACGCTGCTGGACACTGCGGATGAGGACGCACCCGGCGCGGCCGAGCTCCCTGTGCAAGTCGACAGTGACAGCGATGCCGCGGACGCTGATGGGCCTGCGGCGGAGTTGGCAGCAGGTGCCCTCCTGCAGGACCATGCGGCCCCGCATTTGGAGAAAGTGGTGGAGGCGCTCCGGTACCTCGATGTCGACGCCCCGGTCAGGGGTGAGCAAGGCGGATCCCTCAGCTTCGGCGCCTATGTGCATGTTCGCGCAGGGGTACGTGCGCTCTCGCGTGTGTACCCCACGCTGACACGGCTACTGACGCGAGTTCTGCGTCACCACTTCCCGGGGGACACCTTCACCACTCTGGTGGTCAATTTCGACGTTTGTGCTGCCCCACATCGAGACCAACAGAACTCTTGGTTGCCTAGCCTGCTCCTCCCGCTTACGCAGTTTGTTGGGGGTGGAATTTGGGTGGAATCCCCCACCGGATTGGAGACACGCATCTTCCGTGGACGACGGGTCCTGGGAGCAGTTGCGCCCTTGCGCGGGCCCACCAGACTCAGCGCGCGCAGCCTTCTGCATGCCACGGAGCCCTGGCAGGGGTCCCGGGTCCTCCTCGTGGGCTTCCACTTGGCGGGGTTCAGAACGCTTCAGCTGCAAGATCGAGCCTACCTCCAGCAGTTGGGCTTTCTGTTCCCGGATGAAGAACAGGAGCGACGGGCGATGCTGTCTCGGTGGACACCGCATGGGACGCAGGTTCAACAGGCTCTACCTTGTTCCGCCCCGAAATGGCCAGTAGGGAAGCTCCGACATGGTTGTGGGCCCGACGTCTACTACATCGACTAGGCTGACACGCATGCCCGGCACGATCTGAGCCCCCGCCGTCGCAAGGACATTGAGTGAATTAGTTTGAATGTGAAGTGAATTGGTTGGCATGTGCAGGGAATTCATCTGCATGAGCATGACTAGTTTCTGTTTCTGTCTTGCATGTGCATGTGCATAGTTTGGTGGCTCCCCTCCCGCAAACAGGAAAGACAAGGATCTCTCTCGCTGGGAGTCCACATAGTTCGGGCTCCCGAGCGACTCTGTACAACGTTGGCACGAGTGGTGTGTAAGACGCCGCGCTGGCCAGACCGGGCCGCCAGACCGGGCCGCCGGGGATAGCAAGAGTGCAAAGCGCCCCCTCCCCCCCCCCCCCATTCCCCCTCCCATGCTTGCTTTGTTTCTCTTGTGCATCCATCGTCGTTGGCTGTCTGCACTTTGACACCCCATGCATGGACAGACACATGCTCAGCCCCGCCCGCAGCCCTGAAGCCCTCGTGCTCTCAGCATTTCTGTAACCCCTTTGGTGCCTTGCATTTTCGAAATGGCAATGGAGGCGCTGAGCCAGGAGCCCCGGATGGCGGAGCAGACGACGCCGACCCAGACCGGCGGGGCACAGGACGACGTGCTGGCCGCGGCGAGCCAGCTCCACGACCTCTGGGTGAGCATCATGGACGACACGCAGTGGCAGTGGCTGGTGGGCGGCCTCTTGATGACGGGGCTGCTGGCGGCTCTGGTGGGGGTGTCTCGACGTCGTGGTCGAGTGGATCCTGGCGCCAGCGAGCCTGACACTGGCGCGGCTGCCCCCGACACCACCTTGGACGACCCTGTATCGGACCAACTCCGAGCACTCATGGAACGCACGGACAAGCTGTTTGGCAAAGTCAGCACCGTCATGGACCTCCTCCTGACCGCCGACAGCAACCGGGCACAAGACCAACGCGAAGCGCGCACCGCCGCTGGCAACCTGCTCGACAAAATCAAGGAGATGTGGAACCTCGTGGAGCGGGTAGAAGGCCGTGTGCAGGACATCAAAGACCCAGCAGCGGCAATCCAGAAGATGGACGCCCAGCTCGCGGCGCTGCATAAAGGGGTCAAGGCCGACCTCCTCGCGGTCAAAACGGACCTCGGTACGACTACTGCTGGTCTGGAGGTGCTCAAGTCCCAGACCGCCGTCCTGTGCGCTTCGATGGAAAGCCTCCAGCAAAAGTTCGGCGTGGTGACGGCAGTGGTGGATGGCCTGACTACGGATCTCGCAAAGCTGTGGGAAGGCTGCGACACGGCCGCTGCCCGGGAGAGTCACGAGAACATCGCGCACATCAAGAAGGTGCTGGCCCAGGTCTGTGACGTGACGTGGGCGCTCCAGGAAAGCCAGACCAAGCAGTCCGAGCAGATACAGGCCCTCCTGGACAAGTGCGAGGATGGTCCGGCGCAGGCAGCAGGACCGGCCCCGCGCCCTTCGGGACCGGTGCTTTACCGCTCCCCCCCGCAGACACAACCGGGGGCGGGGGCGGGAGGACCAGGTCCCGCGCAGCCCCCCATCATCAACTTGTCAGACACGGTGGCCATGCCGACGCCGTCCTACCGGGGAGGGGCTGCCCTAGTGGTCCTCCCCGGGGGAGGCCAGATGACGCTCGACGCCGCAGCCCTCACGCGCTTGGTGGTGCCGTCCTAGACCTCCGGAACCGGCCGTGGATGTTGAGAACAGCTGAATTCACACGACCAGGAATTCGATGCATGGAATTCCGGCACGCCCCGCCCCCCCCCCCCCCCCCCCCCCCCCGCTCCTAGCCCGTACATGTTACCTCTGCCCTCAAGCCTCGTCCTCCCAAGTAGCCACCCCCCCCCCCAAGAATTGACTGCATGGAATGCACGCTATGCCAGAACTGCCCCGGGCGCACTGGACCTGCATGATTGGCATGGGCACGTAGTCGTCAAAGCTGTTTTAGCTTCCACTCCTCGGAATAGATACTGTGCCGGTTTGCCCCAGGCGCACGGGACCTGCATGACTTGCATGCGCACGTAGCTGTTTCTCACACTCTGTCACAGATGCACGCCGGCATTCTCGCAGGAGCAATAATGGGAACTGGTTGTCTCGTTGTGGGATTTAGGGGAGCTGTTGCGCATACATGCTGTGTTCTCCACGTGTTCCTCATGATTGCACGGGCACGTAGTTGTTCTCACACTTGGTCAAAGATGCATGCCGGCATTCTCGCAGGCGCACCAACTGGGACTGTCTGTTTTGTTGCGAGATTTGAGGGAGCTGTCGTGCAGTCGTGCTGTGCTCTTCATGTGTGTTCTTCATGCGTGCGTCAGCAGAGACGCTCAGAGTCCGAACCCGCCTGGCCCTTGAGCAGCTCGGAACGTCACGCCCCACAGTGCAAGCAACGCGTTGCAGTTTGGAGTACAGGCACCGCCAGAGAGCCCGCCAAACCCACCGCCTTGCCCGGGGACATGCAGGGGAGAGACGCAAGGTCGTCGTATGAGCGGCTCGCAAACCGTTTCGTAGGACCGTGGGTGGAATCTCGTACCGAAGCCAAACGCATCGCCAAGGCCACTCTCGCATACCGTATGGAGGATATCAATCGTTCTCAATCCATTCGTCGCCGCATCAATGAGGAAAACCTTCGGGCTGTGGGGTGGTCGCATGAGGCTCGCGCGACGGTCGAGGGTCGCGCAGGGGTAGGGGGAGAGAGGCGAGGGGTGGTCAAAGAGGATGGCCCGACGGAGGGGCCGGCCTGCTGAGCACGCCTCGTTAGCTACGCACACACACACAAGCGCGCCCCCCCACACGCGCGAGCGTGCACTCAGGTCCGCTTCAGTGTGCTAGATCTGTAGGCGTCCCCTACCTGTCCCCCCCCCCTTACTTGTAACAACCCCGCTAACAGTCTACGGCACCTCGGTGCATCCTGAGCCATGGCCTCTCGACACGATGTGACGCTGGCCTGAGCTGGGAACCTTGGAGCTCGCGAGTTTGGCATGTGGGTGGGACTGCAATGGCGGCTGGCATCCCCAATACAGCAGCACGATGTTTGGGCTGCCAGGGGACACAGCGAGATGTCCAAGTTTTGCTGCCATGTGGCAGCCTTGTGCCTGCGTGCGGCCGGACCGCTTTGGCCGCCCGGCGACACGGAGTGACTGCATGACGAATACCACTGCACTGCATGGAGTTGGGTCGCCGTGGAGGGTGGCAGATGGGGACCCTGCGTCTGCATGGTGCCTGCAACTGCCAGATGCATGACCGCTGGTACGAAGCAGAAAAGGAATTCATGAATTCAGAATTTGTGAATTCAGCAGTGAAGGCCCTGGAACCTGATGGATGCAAAACTGCATGTTGAGTGAAGCTTGGGTTCTGCACGACCTCGGAGCTGACAGTCCCACGCACGTGCACTCTGCATGGACCGTGTGCATGGCCACCACCTGCCAAGTTGCGCCTCCTGACGCCCGGGGATGACAGAGACAGATGTACGTTGTCGAGTGCGTATAGCCACAGACGGCAGTCACTGCTCGGGACATCGAATGCTGAGGATAGAGAGAAGTCTCACCCACATAGCCCTTGCCACATGTTGCTTTTAGGGAGGAAAGGCCGCTCGGGTTGTACTGTTCTGGAGATAGTATTCATACCTGATCTTTGGACGGTTTGCGGCAACCTCCACGTATTGTCGCTAGGTCGCAATGTGCCTAGGAATAGTCAGTCGGGTCTGATGGGGGAGGCTTGTTTCAAGGTGGAAAGGTGATCGAGGTATACTGTTAGCTATCATGGTTTGAGCCCCTCTGTTGGACACGCCGACTGGGTCAAAGAACTTCTGTCGGCCAATGGACATGTACCAATTTGTTTTCTATTTGTCTGGGATCGATCAGGGGTCAGCTCTTCAGTATTGGGGCTTGGCATTGAACATTCGTCGGTGGTAATGCTGACCCTGGTTGGTTCGTTACTGGTGGTCAATGCACCCACTCTGGAGATCTCGACAGGACTTGCCTCGCCCGCTTATGCCAGTGTGAGAGTCGAAACCCTAAACCCTAAACCCTAAACCCTAAACCCTGAACCCTGAACCCTGAACCCTAAACCCTAAACCCTAAACCCTAAACCCTCCCACCTTTACATGGACCCCCAAGAAGGCCAAGGAACTCTGCGAGGGATATCTCCGGGAATATCGTTGGCAGTGCAAGCTTTGCCCGAGTTTAGGGTTTAGGGTTTAGGGTTTAGGGTTTAGGGTGACCTTGATCCTGTCGTGGGACTGCAGAGTTTCTTCAGTCCTGCCAGATTCGGGCTCAGCACTGCTGTTTAAGCCCGAAGCACTCGCGTTGATGCGAGGGTTCAAGGGCTTCAGAAGGCTTTGAAGCATGATTGGAGGTCCAAGTCCCCTTCACTACTGGGCGCTTTGGGACAACCCGGGGGAGCGCCTATATAAGTCGTCTGCGCACAGATCGACGTGAACTTGTGTCGGAGACAGGCAAAGTGTGCACACCTGCATCCGTAAACCCCGGAGGTGATCGAATTCATTGCCTGACGGGCGTGCTGTCGGGCACTTTGAGCTACGTCTTCAACAAGCTGAGACTTGGGTCGAGAGCTTAAGAAGCCCCGCATCGAAGCCTACATCAAGTCCCTGAATCCACAGCCCCCGGAAGCTTATGATGCCCAGCATGGACCTTAGGGTTTAGGGTTTAGGGTTTAAACCCTAAACCCTAAACCCTAAACCCTAAACCCTATGGACCTCAAATAGTGAGAGAAAAAGGGAGCCCTGAAGTCCAACAAACGATGAGACGGTTGCGCATTTCGCAAGCCCAGACGTCCACGAGCGACGACCGCTGGCCCTGTTGTCGAAACCAGAAGCACGAAAGTCCCTAAACCCTATAAATAGCCCTGCTCAGCTAGGCGGGTGGCAAAAAACAACCCTAGACCCTGATGACAGGTTCGAGGTCGGTGAGCCAGTTCATGGCTTGGGCCTAGGCGAGGGCGCGACTTTCGGCCCCCCAAAATGCGAGCAGGCTGATGTGGCCGTGCCAAGCCTACAAGCTTACAGCCGCCCTGCACCACAAACCCAGTTCTACAAGCTAGTCTATCAGCTGGGATTCAGGGCCCATGGAGTCAGAATGAATTTGGGTCGTTTGAATCAAAGAAGATTGTGCCTTTAAATCGCATTTTGCCCGACCTACAACCACCGGGAGACAAGGGTTGACAAAAGCTCGAGAACTGAATCCCCGAGAGTTTTCGCCCACTGTAGGAAAGCCTAATCCCTAAACCCTAAAGGAACTTGGAACCTGGAACGACCTTCAGCGAGGCATACAAGGAAGCTTGCGACTGGCCCTTTTACTTGCACGAGGTTTCGGAGTTTGAGGTTATTGCAGGGTTTTTTCGTTCGGTGACGACCTAAGCTCACCAAAATCCACAACATCCCACAACCTAGCGACCTATCGCAATCGAGAAGATCACCTGAAACCAGCCGAGTCCCAGCCGTGATTGAGGCGAGCGTGGACTTACGAACGTGTCCGCGCAGGAAGACTTGAACGGCATGGACAGCGCTCGAAAAACTTTGCATCTTGCAATGAAATTCAGACATGCAGAATGATGTAGGCTAGGTCTGCTCAAGGGCTAGTATGCCGGTGTCGCTTGTAGGCAACCTTCGCACCCTCTGAAGGGTGTGGGGGCCCAGCACGTGACCTTAAAGGCGCGCCACGCGAATATTCGTTGCCCTAAATGTCATTGTGCCTTCTTTGAGCCGACAAACTTGTCTTTATGGATTCCCCCCCCCGCCCCCCCTACTTTAAGGACCCCAAATCTGCTCTTTTCTAGGTTCTTTTATAAACTCCTATCGGATTCTTGTTCAGCCTACAAAAAGTAGGTTTTGGGTTCTTAAGGTACTAAATTAAAGCCGCCTGCTAAAGCCAGAAGCCCCAAGCGGCCTTCAATGCATCATGTTTTCTCCGCACCGAAAAGTGGCGTTGGGCAGGATGTTGCCTGCCACCTGCTGACAGAAGCAGGCAGCGTACAACGGTAAAGGTGCTCCGTCACCATAACCGCGCATGATGGTTTAGGGTTTAGGGTTTAGGGCGCTGGCCTCAGTTCCAGTCTTAAAAGGGTTTAGGGTTTAGGGTCTGCCACCTACCCAGATCTTCCAAAGCCCCTTAATTAAGGTATATACCCTAATTCATAATAAGGATCCTGATTATGAATTAAGGTGTATACCTTAATTAAGGGGTTTTGGAAGATCTGGGTAAAGTTGCCAACAAAAATGACACAAGAACGCAGGGCATGAGCGCGCCAAGCCTGTGGAAAGAGCGAAGGTTAAGTTCGGGGTTCCCATGAGTTAAGCGAGCTCCTGGGCTTTCAGGCCGGAAGGTAGCACACTTCACACTCCACAAATGAGCACCCCGCACCTTGGGGACCAAATGAACCCTAAAATTGGGGTCATCTACCCATTACTACTATAATTCCTGTTAAGGTATATGAACCATAAACCCTTTTAGAGTTCATTTCGTCCCCAAGGTAGGCTGATCTGTTCACACACTGCTACGGAAGCTGCTTCGGCAGTGGCTGAAAGTAAACCCTTTCAAGCGCCTGTAGACTTGATGGCTGTGTTTTTAGGGGATAGGATTAGGGGGACCCTTAGGGATATAGACCCTCTGAGTAAGGTCCCTGTTTAAGAGAGCCAGAAGAGGGTTCAGAAGGGGTTCCCTTTTAAGGGTCCCCCTTATCCTACCCAGGAGTTTTGAGAACCCTGGGAATCCGCGTGGTAGAATTGTTGCAAGTCAGCTTGTGTTTTCTCCGGTGGAGAAGCCCCGGCCTTGAGAGGTCCCAAGTCCACACTCACCCCTACCCCTCGTCATACAAGCGTTCCTTCAAAGATGGGGATGAAGGATTCTAGGTCATGCTTGCAGTAAGACAGGGATAAAGAGCGGCTTCCTTGAATCTCAGAGATCTTTGAAAGCAAACATGTTGGCATTCTGAAGAGCATCGTTCCTGGGGCTGCTGTCATATGGGCTCAGCCCAAATAGGCTTCTAGCGCGTTTAGGCCTCCAGGGGCTCCAAAGTTTAGAGTTGAGGGTTTAGGGTTTAGGTTTGGGGTTTAGGGTTTAGTGTTTAGGGTTTAGGGTTTAGGGTTTAGTCAAAAGGGTTTGTGAAATGTTGGGTCGAAGTTCAAGAAAACCAGGATTTTGGCGCGGGAGCTCGGCTTGAAAGCGGAGCTTTCAGATGCGGCCTGGCTTGCAAAGGGTTTAGGGTTTAGGGTTTCGGTAGGGTTTAGGGTTTAGGGTTTAGGGTAAAGGGGTTTCGGGTTTAATTAGGGGGTGCTGATTTCTATGCCCAGATCTTCCAAAACCCCTTAATAAAGGTATACACCCTAATTCATAATCAGGATCCTTATTATGAATTAGGCTATATACCTTAATTAAGGAGCTTTGGAAGATCTGGGTGGTTGGGGGTGCGAGGCTTAAATCATCCCTGAGCTTATAAGGGCTGCTAGGACTACGAGTTGGTGTCTCAAGGTGGCCGCAGGCGTTCGGTGCTTGAGCCGGTTTGGTTGAGGGCTTGCGCATGTTGATGGGCAAGTGTCCCTGCTCAGACTAGAGGGTTTCTAGAATGGCATCCTTTGAGGAGGGCTCACTTAGGCTCAGGCAAGAACAAGGCTTACCAAAGAGACGAAGGCTTGCAAACCATACCAGGGTCGCGGCGTTGCTTCAGTCAGCTTGCCCCTCATTCCTGCAGGAGGGGGGGGGGGTCGGACTTTTAAAGTTCCCGGTCGGCTCCCAGTATGGTTTCAAGAGCCCTGTTCACCAAAGAGTCCCGTGTGAGGCACAGGAATCCTTTCAAAACTGAAGTCCCCCCAGGCGGCACCAAATCCTTGACACTCCAAGTGCAGATCGAAACTCCAAACCTCGAACCCTAGCCTACCCTAAGCCCTTGACCCTCTGCAACCCTAAGCCCTAACAACCCTAAATCGAGGTTAGAACTCGTGGAACTTTACGCTCGTCAGCGGTTTGTTTTGCCACTTTCCCCGATGCGGTAATGCTGTCAGCTACTACACCAGGGAGGGGTTTAGCAAAAAGGGTTCAGGTTTAGGGCTTAGGGTTTCGGGTTTAGAGTTTGGGGGTCGAAGGTGTAAGGGAGACTGAGGTTGGGATGCTCGCCCTTATACTAACAGTCCTTAATGGAGATTATCATAGGTGAGTTACTGCAATCCCTACAAAAGGCCTGCTAGGCGAAGGGGGAACGACTGACCGTACCGATGGCTACAGTGATGGCTACAAGAGTGTTTAGTCGTGAAGCCGAAAGCGGTGCACCTGTGGCACTGTACTCAGCTTTCGCCTAGCCTTTTGCGCAGCAAACATGAACGACAATAGCTCCATGCGAAGCATCAGGCTACCCACATTGAAATACCGATTACATGAGAATATCCCAAGTTCGAGGTTTGCTGCAGTTTGCTCTTTGCTGAGGTCGAGATCGAGTCTCTTCTCCCTTCCGATGCCTCGGGCAGTGACCTTGAAAGCATCATCAAGGAGCTATCCCAGAGAGAAGCAACTTCAAGGATGTCATTTGGGATGTTCCCCCCTATACTAACAGTCCTTAATAGGGATTATAGTAACTTGTCTAGTCTAATCCCTACCCGCAAGCCTCTGCAGCATGCTAATGCCAGAAATGCTGCAGAGTTTCATGTTTTGCTCCAGCCTCCTCATTCTCCATGCAGTCAAGGGGTGAAGCCACGAGTATTCCAGGATAAACCCTTAACCCTGGAATGGGCCACGTACTCCGTGGTTGATGCTCGGTGAATACGGTCATAATTATTCTGATTTATGGAGGGGTCAGAGCCCGTAGTACCTTCGGAGAGAATTTTTGCTTGTTGCTCCTGAGTTGGGGCCAACGTGTCTTGACTGCCTCGAGTGTTGGATATCTGCAGCCTTGCCTGCGAGCGCGCTAGTCGTGAGAGTCGAACCCTAAACCCTAAAACCCTAAACCCTAAACCCTCAACCCTAGCCCTTGGCCTTGTAACCCTCTGAGCTTCCACACCCGTTGTATCACCACTCAACGCATTAAATGCACTCACCCTCTCCTGCACGTTCAAGCCAGGCATTCACCTGAAACCTTACGGTAATTTGTAGCCCAACCCCCAAAAAAGGGTACCCTTTTTTGGGCAATATCTCTTATACCATACATCCTAAACGCCCAGGCCCTAAACTGGAATGAAACCCTAAGCCCTAAGCCCTAGTTCCCTAAAGCTTGCCCGTTTGCAGGAGAAAGTCGATCCGTTCATCGAGGAGAAGATGAAAGCTGCAAGCGAGGAGGGGAAGCTTCTGTTCTATTGCGGAGAGGCCCCTGGGTGGTTGGAGCTGCCGCATGTCTGTAGGGCTTTTTACGGGCTTGTGGGCTGGATGGGTTTGGGGTGTTTGTGGAGTTTGGGTTTTGTTTTCCCTGATGACGTTGAGGTTGAGGCTTCATAGTTGAAACCGCCAAAGGAACTTGCACTCAGGGATGCCATGGGCCATGGCTGAGGCATTCGACTTGGACGTACAGAGGGATGTTAGGGTTCAGGGTTTAGGATTGAGGGGATAGCAGGGCTTCAAATTTGTGAGGTCGCAGGGTTTGTTGATGTCGCGCCTCGGGTTGAGAGGGTGAGGCTCTGGGTTTTGGGCGGTGTCCTTTCTAAAATCCCCCTGCCAGGTCGACGTGGAAGCACGGAAAGTTACAGTTGGGCTCAAGGCCTACCCGAAGGATGGTCTCCCCTTTGCGCTGAACGATGCCGACATGGCTGTTCAGGTGGCCACCAGTCGTTCCGGGTTTTTTTGGCGGGCACGAAAGCGCCCTTCAGCCCTGAAACCCAGAAATCAGGGATTACAGGCCTGAGGCCTTCAAGCTCAAGCCTAGTCGAATCTGAGACCTCTAAAATCTAAAACCTAAACCCCATTACAGCGAACCGGGCCTGAGACATTTTCTCTGACATAAACATGTGTGCGCCTTGAACAATGCCCCCCCAACAAAAATGTAAAACCGAGTGCAGCATTCAGCACCCAAGACGGCGCCAGCCAAAGCCCCCAAGTCCGGAAAGCTAGTCGTTTGCGTTGTCCGTGTTTGAGGTGCTTCGCGGCTTAACGCCCTCAGTGCCCGACCTCCCACATCGCATAGAAGCACCTTGAAGGCTCAAACACTAGACGATAAACCCTTTGCCTTGGTTTGAATGAACTTCGCCCTAACACTCCAGACTTTTGTAGCTCCAACTCATGGGTTTAATATATATATATATATATATATATATGATATATATATATATATATATATATATGATATATACATATATACATATATACATATATATATATATATACATACATCACAAGCCATGAACCTCCACTCGCAGATGGTCTCCGACCGCTTCCCAGCTTCTACGCCCCTCGTTTGCCGCACCTTTGCAGCAAACTTGCTGTTGGTTCGTAGGGGAATGGGGGGAATGAGGGGACCCTCTAGAATCCCTTAAAGGGAAAATTCAGGGCCCCCAAGGAATGAGGGTACCGTCTATAGAATCCCTTAAAGGGAAAATTCAGGGCTCTAATTCCCTCATTTCCTGCTAACCAACAGTAAGCAAAGGGGTTGAAAGTCGACTTGCACAGGGCACTGTCAGGGCGTTGACGAAATCCATGCTGCAAAGTGCACATGTTTTGCTTTTGACTTCGATTCAGATGGGCTGTCACATTGAGGGCGCGGAAAGCCAAATCCCAGAACACGGAATCGCCCACTCGAGCATGTGCGCTGGAAAGGTTTCAGTTGACTTGAACTGAGCAGCAATAGAAGTGATAGACTTACGAAAACAACATGAGCAAGCCGCAGTACACCACAACCTATCCCCCTTAACTCAAGACCTTAAGAATCAGCAAAAACCCTCTATTCCTTAAAACCCTAAGACCCTAAATCCCTAAACCCTAAAGCCCTAAACCCTAAACCCTAAACCCTTCAAAAACGCCACCAACAGGAGGGCCGGGTGCTGGCGCCGAGTTTACCGCCTCGGGGCTCTTTGCATCCATGCGCCTCTGGATGATCTGTGGGTTTAGGGTTTAGGATTTAGGATTTAGGGTTTAGGGTTTAGGGTTTAGGGGACCCTAAACCACCACCTGTGGAAATTGAGTTGAAAAGGTGGTTGAAAGATGCTTTGGCATATTGCTATTGCTAATAAGAAGAATTAATGAATCATAGGTCGAATTGTATTAGAAATAAACCCCACAAATTACTGACAACAATACAAAAAGCATGGTCTATGGCCTTTGGCCCAGTTAAAGCACTTTGGGCATCAGGTGAAGGGTCTCAACCTTCAACTGTCGCCACTGCCAGAGCGGTGTGCTCATCCTCACCCAGACCTTCCAAAACCCCTTAATTAAGGAATATACCCTAATTCATAATCAGGATCCTTAGTATAAATTAGGGTATATTCCTTAATTCAGGCCCCTAAACCCTAAACCCTAAACCCTAAATTTTAAACCCTAAACCCTAAACCCTAGGGGTTTTGGAAGATCTGGGCAATCTTCCTCATAAACGCAGGCTTGAGTCTGAGCGTGATGGTATGTCAGACACATGGGCCCAGAGTCCTAAACCCTAAACCCTAAACCCTAAACCCTAAACCCTAAACCCTAAACCCTAAACCCTAAACCCTAAACCCTAAACCCTGTCTGACACATTTGTTGCGACGTGCAGGCTGAGGTTACAGAGTCGCAGTGTGAAGTCGAGAGCTACGCTAGAACTCAGGCGGCCTCCAAAGACTCGTCGTAATTGACCAATGCATTTTAGGGTTTAGGGTTTAGGGGTTAAGGACTCACGCAAGCCTGCTGCAAAAAGAGTTAAGGGTCAGGGTTTAGGGTTTAGGGTTCAGGGTTTAGGGTAGTTCAAACCTTCCATGTAGATGTCGGCACAAAAGGCAACGAGTTTGCGACGCAATGGATCTGAAATCATCCGAACCCTAAACCCTAAACCCTAAACCCTTCAACCCTAAACCCCTAAGCCCTAAACCCTAAACCCTTAAACCCTAAACCCCATAAGTTCAATCAAATTCCAGTTGGGCCTCCAAGCGACTGCTGAGGCTCCGCGTTTGCAGAACGATGACATGAAAGCAGAGCTGCCGCTGCCCTTTCAAGTCTCAGCAAGAGACTACCGTGGCACCCAGGTTTAGGGTTTAGGGTTTAGGGTTTAGGGTTTAGGGAGTCCAGATGCAAAAGGGTTTAGGGTTTAGGGTTTAGGGCCCAGGGTTTAGGGTTTGAGGGTACTCACCGGCTGAAATTTGAGTTGAGGACTTGGGGCTTAGGGGTTAGGGTTTGGGGTTGAGGTTTCAAGGGGACGTCCAATGCCCAACAGCCAGATTTAGCTTTGGGGCCCTGAAGTATACTAAAGTGCCTGCAGATTGCGCCTTGTAGACGGTGACCTGAAACCCTGCAAGACAAGCCACACTGAAGCACAAGGCTTAAGGCATTCGATCTTGAGCCCAAATCCCGCCACTTCGAAACCTCGCTAAGTTGCCCCAGCATACTCGGGCAGCGGACGCCTGAGTGAGATGTTGGGGAGAGTAAATAAAGGGGTTCACAGCTGATGTTTGGGACATATGATACAGTATTTGAGGACATTGGGTTTTAGGATGATAATTAAGAGCTTGTTTAGATGTGCACCGCCAAAATCCTCCGACGCAGTAGAGCTGAATCGTCACATGCCACATCAACAGCATGGCTCAGCGAGAAGCTCCCGACTTGTGTGCCACATCTAGGGGGGCCCTGAGGGCACCACCCTCAATGCGATGAATTACTGAAAGGTCAGGACTTGAGCGAGGTTCTGCGAGTTTCAGCTTACCTATGTAGGGTTTCATGTTTCATGTAGGAGCCGAAACCCTAAACCCTAAACCCTAAACCCTCTAAGGCTTGCGAAAAGTCATTAAACTGGATAGCAGATGCATCAGGCTTGAGCTCAAAAGCCTTCTTCACAAATAGGGCATACCTTAAGAACCCGAAAAGCCTACCTTGTTTTTGTAGGTTAGCCAAGAATCCTATAAGGGCTTTAGAATAAGAACCTACAACAAGGTAGGCTTGGAATCTTTAAGGCAGGCCGCGCAGGGTGTGCGGTCTGGGCATCGAAAATGAGCGACGTGTGATTGGCGGTGTCTGTGCCAAACCCTAAAGGCTATCAACCTTCATGCCGAACCTCGCATTAAGTGCGCTTCGGTTCGCCCCACTTACTTTTCCATAACTTGGTGGGGGAACTGAACAGGGCAGTGGGCCGCAGCTCCCACCGCCCTATGTCTTACCAAGCCATTCTCCGAGCGTGGAGCCATGCCATCTTGACTTGGCAGCAAGGGGGGGGCATAGAGCGACGACATGGGCATACAACAATATAAGACTCTGATAGCACATTTACATCAGAGCATGATATAATACGATGGCATCATAAGAGTAAAGGTCATAGCAAGAATTCTTATACAATACACCAACATGCAGCACGTGCAGCATGATCCAAACGGCCCCCGACATCCTAAAACTTCCCAGATCTTCCAAAACCCCTTAATTAAGGTATACACCTTAATTCATAATCAGGATCCTTATTATGAGTTAGGGTATATACCTTAATTAAGGGGCTTTGGAAGATCTGGGTTGATCTGGACTCACAGAGCCTTCTAACGTGACACGGTGGCCCGGGTCCCGACCTCTTCCGCACCTACCTAAACCCTAAACCCTAAACCCTAAACCCTAAACCCTAAACCCTAAACCCTAAACCCTAAACCCTAAACCCTAAACCCTAAACCCTAAACCCCTAAACCCCTAAACCCCTAAACCCTAGCGAGCCCCGCCACAGTAGTTGCTTTAGCCCCCTCGGGCGCTCCTCGAACGACTCCAGCGGTTTTGATGCGAGCGCATGCGCGGCAGGAGGATGCTGAAGAAAGAAACCCTCAACCCTAAACCCTAAACCCTAAACCGGTTTCTAGGGATTGGGTTTAAGGCTTACTATATTCCCCTTGGGACTTATTTTTAAATTTTTGTTTCTATTTGAAACCCAAGAGGATATCAAACATATCATCTTTAATAAGGTTCTAAGGGGAGTATAGCTTAGGCGGTAGGACATCCCGACGTAGTGAGCCTTCCACGAGGAGCTTTAGGGAGGTGGGGCTCGTAAGTGTTACGGGGTTTAGGGTTTAGGGTTTAGGGTTTAGGGTTTAGGGTTTAGGGTTTAGGGACTTCTGGTCCCGTCTTCATACGACACGCTGAGATAATTCATGCCTACTCGGGTCTCGATGTTTCCCGCCTGTGTTCAGCAGCACCCCCCAAGACCTCAAACCAATTCAACTCCCAAAGTCTTAGCTAAACTAGCTGAACTCTCAAAGATGAATAGCCGCAGTATGCTAAAGCCGCAGAAGTCTCATAAAGCCCTAGCTTCTTCAATCCTGAAAGCCTCTCACATGATCCGTGTCGCGTGTGGCACCGCAGGGACCGCGCCCCACTGAGACTGGTCTTCTATAGAGTTCGTTTCGGTTTTGGAGTCGAAGGTTTAGGGCAAAGAAAGGTGCGGTTTATATAGGTCTTAGAGGCCGCTCAGAAGAAAGCGAGTGAGCATCCTTTTGGGAGGATGCTACTCAGTCGTTCCAATCCCGTTTTCATTTATATGAAGAGCCTCGCTCGGTCCGCACGCCCGCCAAGAAATGACGCGCTTCTGCAGGGGCCCCCTAAACCCTAAACCCTAAACCCTAAACCCTAAACCCTAAACCACGGCAATGCGGGGGTAAATTGGTTGGCTAGTCGGGTGGCAAAAAAAAAACCCTAAACCCTAAACCCTAAACCCTAAACCCTAAACCTAAACCCTAAACTGCAAGTGAGGGCTCGGCTGGGCTTCTCGGGGCTGCAATCTAAGAAATATTCAGCATACCCCTTCGGCATACCCTTGAAAGAAATTTAGGGGTATGGTAATATCCTCCCTTAGACTCCCTTATCATTTTTCCTTTATCGGTCAAGGGGTCTGGGTTGGGGTGTGGTGAATCATTCTCAGATGCAAGCCATCGCAAGTGAGTTCTAAACCCTAAGCCTAAACCCTAAACCCTAAACCCTAAACCCTGTGAGTGCCACCTGCAGAGCCTGCCTGGTCCCCAGGTGCGGCGCGTTCAGAAGCTCTGGCGCGCGAAGCTGCGCTTGCGGTTGCGCGCTGACATCCAGGAGACGCCGCACTCGGTTTAGGGTTTAGGGTTTAGAAAAAAGGTTTAGGGTTGGGTTCCGGGGAGGGGTTTCTTCAAGATTCTTGAAGCAGGCACTAGGAGGGTTTATGCAAAACACACAAAACCCCCAAACCAACTACCGACATGCACAAATCGAGAAGCGCACCCAAGAAAAACTACTGACATGCTCCCCTGTCCCTAAACCCTTTTTTCCTAAAACCCTAAACGAGCCCTTCCATGCGGAGGATCTGGTCGGAACGTTCAAGCTTATGGCGGCGCCTAGTCTCCATGGCGTGGGGTTTTGAGAGTTTAGGGTTTAGGGTTTAGGGTTTAGGGGGGAAGGCAGGCGTGGGCAGATGCGGGCAGTGGAGCTGGAAAGTTGGGCAAGTAGGGGAACCCTTCTTGAAAGCAGTCCATCAGAGCAGCCCAGAAGTTTTGGAGAGCCTTGGATTCGTGGGTCCATTCTGTGTGGGGAGAGCTGCTGATGCAAAGGCCACGCCCTAAACCCTAGCCCTAAACCCTAAACCCTATAAACCCTAAAGGCCCGCAAGGATTTCGAGTCGAACCTTCGAGCCGAAGTCCTGAACCTCCGAACTCCACGACCTGTGTGAAAACCCTGGCTCTAAACCCGAAACCCGAAGCGGGTGCTAGGGTTTTAGGGTTTAGGGTTTTAGGGTTTAGGGGTAGGGCTTAGCCTGAAGACTGACACAAAATGGCAACCATGCGTGGTAGCCCAGTGGTACCTTTTCCCGTTGTTGTTCGTTCAAGGGTTCCCCAACAAAGTAACGCCCTAAACCCTAAACCCTAAACCCTTATTGTAAGACGGTTACTGGGCCACCAAGCCATGGAAGTGTTCAGGAGGCGAGGCAGGCTCACTTCGTCAACGCGGACGTCTTGGCAGGCCCGTGGCGGTGGGGTCTCCGAAACGTTTCTGAAACACCTACATTGCTAAGCGAGTTAAGGTCTATGCAGAGGGTTTAGGGTTTCGGGTTGAGGGT